GGTCCTGATGCAAGGGACAGTGCCAAAACCAGGATGTGAGTCTGAAACTGGTGCTCAGTGAAGTTCTGTCCCCAGCTGGGGCTCCTGGCAGCTGGCAGCTTGAGTTGATGCAAATGAAAGCCTCCCACTGCCATGGTCCCCAAACCACATGGATGAAAATCTCAAACCTGCCGTGAATCCACACCAGCAAGTCCAGCAGCCCGCAGGGCCAGGGCCATCCGTGAGCACCTCCAGCATCGCAGCGTGGTGTCGGAAAGCAACACCGGATTTCCCAATCCAGCTGAAAGCTCTTCAGATGTTCTGCTGCTTTGATTATTTGACAGACCATGTTTTTTAAATTATTCTTGTATAAATATTTACGCATTTTTACAAGAACCATGCTTTGAGCAACAGGCCGTGGCAGAGGGGAGGGGGCTGGATGCTGGATTGCTCCATCCCTGTTTTGCAGGTCAGCTGGGGGTTGAGCAGGATGGATGGTGGGGGATGCCAGGTTGCACCCATGCCCGGGCCCCGGGCGATGCACACTTGGTGCTGACAGCTCCCTCCCAAACAAGAAGTGACTGGTTGGTGTGATCCTGCCCCTTCCCCTCGCTCCCCGGCTTTCCCCTCCCAGAGGAGCAGAGCCTGGCCAAGCACTGGATGGGCTGGGAGCCAAACTGCCTGCTGTGGGGTGCACACTGCCAGCTGCTGCTGGAGCCCCATGCAGCCCCACACACGTCCCAGGCATTGTCCCTGGCCTCGTGCCTGGCCCCTTTGCATGTCCAGGTCTGAAAAACACCTCTTCCAGCCACCCCGAGCCAAGAAAGCCCATTGCTGCCCTGCCACTGGGCAGCAAGGCACGGACATAGCTGCTGGCAGGATGGAGACCACTGCACTGTTCCCCACAGCCACGCTGGGTACAGCTCCTTTGTCTCCTGCTCCAGCATTGCACCCCAGCACAGCCTTTGCATCCCAGACCAGGTCAAGGAGAAGGCAGTGGGTGCCAGAAACCTCTGTGGGCATCCTGGAGAGAGAAGGGGGTGGAGGGGTTGGGGGGCCCTGAGGGCAACTCCAGCAACCATATCTGCTCCCGAAGCCCTGGGGCCAGGGCTGCATGGGCAGTGATGGCAGAAAAGCCTCCTGCTGTTCTGGGGATCCTCCCCGCCAACCCCATCCTGCTCCCCAGGACTGTTGCTGTGTTTTTTGGGAAGGATGAGGGTGAGCTCCCCCCCTCCCCCACCCACAGATGGGATCCACAACCCAGGCTTGCGTTTTCCGCTGAGCTCAGCAGAAATTCACTCAGAAGGTCAGTGACCAGAGAAAGGGACGATCCATCATTAAATAAATTGTTTTCATTTCCCAGGATAAAGGGGAGGAAAAGGGGGTGGAAGGGGGGGGGGGGGTGTTGGGCCGGGACTGAAAGAACAAGGCAGGAAAACCACCCCCCGTGCTCCCTGCCGTTAGAGCCTCGGCTCCTTCTCCGTGCTCTCACAGGGTTTTTACAGCCAAAGCTCTTAATGTGATTATAATAATTATTTCTTTCCTAGCATTTTTTTCTTAATAAACAGCCTCTTTTGAAACGTCGCTGGGGGAAGCCAAGACTCCAGCTGAGCCCTGGCCCGGAGGAAGGCGCAGGGGCTGAGGGAGCGTGCGAACGTGCGCGGGTGCGTGCAGGCAAGCACGTGTGTGCGGGAGCATGCGGGCGCCCATGGGGGCACCTTGGAAGGGGGTGACTCCACTGGAGCATGCGAGCACACCCCGGGCTGTGAGCACCCTGTGCTTCCGCCGGACGAGCAGGCAGGGGGCTCCTCTGCGTCTCTCTCATGGTCCGAGTGCCCCGTTGAACCCCCCCTCATACCCCTGCTTTCCTGATCCTTTCTGTGTTACCCCCCAGCTCCAGGGCCAGGCTTTGAAATCTGTTGAAAAGAAAGCCCTTTTTTGCCAAAATAAACAGCCTGTCATGTTAAATCACTCTCCCTTCCTTTCTACCTCCCCTGCCTGCATCTCCTGTCTCCATTCCAGCCTTTTTGCTGGGGGCCATGCCACTTGGGGTGAACTCCTGACTCAGGCAGTGCTGGCGCTGGGGCCGGTGCAGAGCCAGGGTGCGGGGGCAGAGCATCACCTACCTCCTGCATCCCAGTCTCCAATGCCAGCTCCTCCACCTGCTAGCTCAAAAAACTGATGATGTCTTTCTGTGGCAGTGGCATCTTGCAGGGCCCAGGGCTCAGCAGTGACGCTGCACATGGCATTCTTAAGCTCACCATGACCCAGCAGTGCGTGCTTGCAGCCCAGAAATTCAACTGTGTCCTTGGCTGCATCAAAAGGAGCGTGACCAGCAGGTCAAAGGAGGTGATCCTGCCCCTCTGCTCTGGTCTCATGAGAATCCCCCTGCAGTCCTGCATCCAGCTCTGGGACCCCAACACAAGATGGATGTGGAGCTGCTTGAGCAAGTCCAGAGGAGACCACAAAGATGCTCTGAGGGCTGGGGCAGCTCTGCTATGGAGCCAGGCTGAGAGAGATGGGCTTGTTCAGCTTGGAGAAGAGAAGGCTCCACGGAGACCTTAGAGCAGCTTCCAATGCCTAAAGGGGCCAACAAGAAATCTGGAGAGGGACTTTTTACAAGTGCATGCAGTGACAGGACAAGGGGGAATGGCTTTGGGCTGACAGAGGGGAGATTTGGGTTAGATATTAGGAAGAAATTCTTCCCTGTGAGGGTGCTGAGGTGCTGGCACAGGTTGCCCAGAGAAGCTGTGGCTGCCCCATCCCTGACAGTGTTCAAGGCCAGGTTGGACAGGGCTTGGAGCAACCTGGTCTAGTGGAAGGTGTCCCTGCCCATGGTAGGGGGTTGGAACTGGATGAGCTTTAAGGTCCCTTCCAACCCAAGCCATTCTATGATCCTATGGTGGATCAAGCTGGGTGAGGGATGCCGGGGGCTTGCTGCAGCCACCTATACACCTCTGCCATGTCGAGTACTCCCATGCCCTGCTTTTTGTTTTTTTTTTCCCTGTTCCTCACTTGCCCTTGCTCTTTCGGGGCTGTTTTCTCTTTCCTGTCCCTAATGGAGTAAAAATTCGTAGAACCATAAAATGCTGAGATGGAAAACAAGCAATTAGCTCATTCAGCCCTGCCCCTCTGCCAGTGCCAGGCCATTCCCCACCAGCCTCCCAGTGACTCGTTTGGACTGAGCACCATGCGCTCCAGCCATGTCTTCCATGGCCTCACATTCCTACTAGGAAATCTTCCTCAAAGTCTCACCTCCAGTGGTGACGTGCCATGTATGAACACATCACTGGGTTACATGTCCTGGTACGGCTTTCAATGCCCAGCCCTGCACTGAGCCTGGCTGTGCGACTTGCCCCAGCACAACCCCCCTGTGCCTGGTAGCATGGGTAGCTGCTCCTCCAGGGCCTCATCCTGGTCCCTTGCCTGTTGAGGAGAGGAAAAGGAAGGGGAAATGGAAAAAAAAAAAAAGAAAGGGAAAGGAAGAAGGGGAAAGGAGAAAGTGAAAAGGGGAGCAAGGAAGGAAAAAGAGAAAAGGAAGTGGAAGGGGAAGGAGAAGGGAAAGGGGAAGGGAAAGGGCGAGGGGAAGGAGAAGGGAAAGGGGAAAGGGAAGGAGGAAGGTAAAGGAGGAAAATAAAAAGGGGAAGGAGGAAGTAAAAGGGTAAAGGGTAAGGCTCTGGCCTGTGGGAAGGGGCAGGGGGCATGATTTTGCAGTACCTATCTCTCAATGGTGCCACCAGAAGATCCACAAAGTGCGGATGCCAAAGGCAGTGAGGAGCTGGGGGGGGGGGGGGGGGTGTCACATTACAGTTGTTCCTCCTGGCACCAAAGCACTGATGGGAGCAGGACATCAGGGTCGTGCTGTTTCCCCCACCAGCGCCAAGCTGTCTGAGGGGGCACCCTCATCTCCCCACCTTGATCAGCCAGTGGGTCACCCACCATCCCCAGGAATCACAGAATGGTTTGGGTTGGAAAGGACCTTAAGATCACCAATTTCCAACCCCTCTGCCGTGGGCAGGGACGTCTCACACTAGACCATGTCACCCAAGGCTTTGTCCAACCTGGCCTTGAGCACTGACAGGGATGGGGCATTTACCACACCTGTGGAAAAGCTGTGCCAGTGCCTCACTACCCTCACAGTAAAGAACTTTTTACTCATATTTAACCTGAGCTTCCCCTGTTTAAGTTTAATCCTGTTCCCCCTTGTTCTATCGCTACAGTCCATGACGGAGAGTCCTTTACGGGTACGGCATGCACCTCCCCTCTCCGGGACTTGTGGGAGATGCAGGAGGACTGGGGTGCAGCCAGGAAGTCAGTGCGGAAGCAAGAGGCAGCCTTTGCTCTGTTGTGGCCAGAGCTGCCCTAACCCCACGGGCTGAGCCTGAGCCAGGCAGCTCTCTGCAGGCTGAAGGTGAGCGAGGTCCGGCTCAGCTCCGAGCACAGCCCTTCACTCCGCAGCATCTGCTCCCCCTGGCGGCGGCTGGGCTGGGAACCGCCGCTTCCCGCTGCCCGCCGGATCTGGGGTCCTAAGCGCCGGTTTGCGCGTCCTCCCGGGGCGATGCTCCCCGCAGCCAGCGCCGTCGCCGACAGCCGTGCCGATGGGAACCCACGGAGACCGCGGGGCCGGTGTTACCGGGGTGACAAGGGGCCTACTGGGGGGGAGCCTGGCCGGGACCAGGGCTCTGCCAGGGGCGTCTGCGCGCATCTGGTAAACTTGAGCCTGAGCTTGAGCCTAAGCCTTGTGTGTCCACTGGCTGGGCATGGGTCTGGGGCAGCAGCACTGTGCTGAGCACCTCCATGGTGGTGTGGGGTCCCACAGCCCTCCCACAGCCACCACAGCATAATGCAACACAAGCTGGGAGCAAACTTGCCCCGACAGCTCCAGGCAGCTGAGATGAACCGGGCCAGGGTGGGAGGGCAGTGGGTTGCCTTCATCTGTCACTGGCTGCGAGGGGATGTTGCTGCCAGGAGAGGAATGGGAGACCACAGCATCGTCCTGGTGTGACCCACTGGCTGAGCATTCCTTATCACACCCTTGGACTGCCCGGCAGGCCACGGTGTGACTTGGTTCTCCGCCCCGGGTCTACCCTGGGAGGACATGGTGCTCCCACCAGCTCTCCCTGGCATGTGCCCAGTGGCGTCGCTTGTCAACGCCTGGCTGTGGCTTCCCTCCACCCACCCTTCACTGGCTCCCAGCCCTGCTCTCCCTGCCCACATACTTTAGCTCCTGCTCTGAGCAGGCTTGGGGCAACAGCAGAGCTGCCATGGCAGCCAGAGCTTCCCACTGGCACAGCTCCCTCAGGGCCACCATGCCCCCATGAGAGGCAGTGGCTGGAACATTTCCATCAGGCCGAGGACGTCCTTCTGACCCTGCTGGAGGATGCCCATGCCAGGGACCCCTGCTTCCTTGTGGACTATGCCAGGAACTTGGAGGCCTTCGAGTTCTCTCTCTGTGCCTCCAAGGATGCTGTCACTATGGAAGTTCCCCTGTGGACTCACAGTGATGGCCTGCAGGTGCTGGCATACTGGCCTGGGGACACCCCAGTCAGGCACCATCTGGGACTCGACACCTGTGGTATCTGGAAGTGTTCTGGGGACGACTTGGAGGACTGGACCGGTGCTCTGTGTGTGATGGAGCAGGAGGGTGGTGCGGGGTGCCTGGTTCCAGTCAAAGTCCTCCAGCACCTGAAAGAGCTCCTTGTTTTGGCCATCGTGCATTGCCAATGCTGCTTCCTGCTTCACCCAGGTGTGGAGGCCAGTGAGACGCTTCCCTGGCTGGGAGCTGCCTCCAGCATGGCTGGGGAGCCCAGCTCAGTGGTGGTTCCTATTCAGACAGGCTGGGGCACAAGTCCCTGTGTGCGTGGCCCATCCAAAATCTGCATGAACGAGCAATCACCCTGCCATGTGCTGGGACAGGTTTTGCCCTCAGCTAAGGAAGGGGAGATGTAAACTACTCCCTACCATCCCACAGCAGCAGTCACCCTTGGGAATCTGCCCTGGGCTGATGGCACTCTCCTTGGCAGGTGGCAGCTCCACACAGCGTTCGCACACCTCTGCCTTCAGTCCTCAGAGAGGGTTTCCTCAGAGACTTGGTGTGCTTGGCTTACCCAAACCCCCATCTGTCCTGGACTCCAAGTGCCTCCTGCTGCCTGGAGGATGCTGTTTGGAGAGTGAGCTGGAAGTGCATCAGGGCTGGATCAGGAACTTGGGGCTGGACCAGGGCCTTCAGGCATGGGTCTGACCCCTGCATGGGCCCCCAGCTGGGAATGCTGTTCCTGGGAAGGACATGGTAGGAAGGGACCCTGGGAATGCCCATAGGGGGTCCCATCAGCTCTTCATGAATTTCCATTTTCAAAGGAGCTTCTTGAAATAAATCTTAGCCCTGATGGAGGGTTGATGTGGGAGGACCAGTAGGTCTAGAATTCTTAACCCAGCCCCAGCAAGCCCACTTTTCCCTCCTTTCTCCCTGTTCAAGACAGAGCCCTGTGTCTTCCTCTACCCCGACAGCCTGAGACCTTTCCTGGTCTGTTTTTCTTGGACTACATTGTTTGTGTTGGCACTGTGCAGCCACCCAGCAGCATGGCCCTGTTCAGCTGCTCAGGGCTTCCTGCTGAGCCCACACCCACTGGCCCTGAGCCCTGTTAAAGCGATGCTCCTTCCCGAAAACCACACCAGTGGAGTTTGGAGAAAGGCTTTTGCTGGGGAACCACAGCCAAACCGCAGCGTTGGAAAGGGATGAGTTGAGTGGGGTGAGACGTGCCCATGGGCATTGCAGCACACACCTGGGTTCAGCCCACAGGACTGGTTGCGGTAACCTCCTAACCACAGCCAAACCTTTCGCATCTAAGTGATCTCAGCACTGATAATCTGCAGGAAGATGCCATGGTGCTCTCCCTGCTGATCCATGATGGCTGGAGGACCATCCACTTTGACATTGTCCCCATGGTGAAGAGGTGGCAGGAGCTGCTCCAGCTCATGGGGCAGCAGAGTGACAGGGGCTTCCATGAAGGCAGCCTCTGGAAGGCCAAGGAAAAGGCCTGCTACATCCCTGCCTCTCCCCATTGCCATCAGTGAGCAGCTCAGCCATGCACAAAGCAGGGTGACCTTGCTCTGGGGATACCCCATGGCTGGCAGCACGTCCAGATGCAGGCAAAAAAGGGGATGGGAAAGTGGAGGAACACGTCAGAAGGGGGGTGAAGTCATCCCCTCAGGATACCAAACCTGCTGTCCTGTGTGTGGGAAAAATCTCAGTCAGGTTCCAAGCAGCTCTAGGAAACAGGGGAAGAGGAGGTAACTGAAGGAGCCCCCCCACTTGTTCGCGGGAGCTGAAGCCTGGCCACATGGAGGGTGGCAGCTCTCTGATCCTTGCTCGGGCTTCAGGAGCGAGCCTGGGAATCCAGCAGCAGCAGCGTGATGAGGTGCTTGCCTGGGCAGGCTGCAGGAAGGAGCAGTGCTGGGATGACACACGTCTTGCCTGCCAGCACAACTACCCAGCCCCAAGAAGGGGCCAAGCATCCCGCTGGACTAGCCCAGGATTAGTTTGGGCACAAAATGGCCCGACTGGATGCTTGGCCCCTCCTTGGGGCCTCTCCAGTGCAGCCTGCAGCCCTCCCTGCTGCATGTAGGAGAGCACAGTCCCGCTTTGCTTCCCCTCCTGTCTCTCCTGGAAAGGCAGAAGCTGCTCAGCAGCATTCCCATGCTGCAGTTTCCCAGGTTCCTCTTAGCCAGAGCTGGGTATGGGAGGAAGATCCAGGATGGTGCATGCCTGAGGCCATGTGGGTGGCTGGGGGGGATCCCCATGCATTCAGGTCATTGCAGTTATCCTCTCCCCAGCTGTGAGGATACAGGTCTCCCAGTTTCTCAAGCCAGATCCTCCACTGCACACACTGACAGCTGGCAGGCAGACCCCAACCCCCGGGCCCTCCTGCAGCTACCCACTGAGGACAGGTCCTGCTGGGACACAGCCTGCTTTGACATCCTGCTCAGCCAGGAAATTCCAGACCCTCAGCTGGTATCGCAAGGCACTGTGGCAGTGCCAGAAACCACCCTGACTGGGTAGCTTAGGGTGTGGCATGTGCTACCCATCCCCATTGGAGGCTGTGGGAGGATGGAGATGCTGGGGCACCGGGCTCAAGCAGAGCAGAGAGCCCTCTCCTGTCACTCCCCACCTGCCTCTACTTAGTTCCAGATGTACCAGATCCAGGATGGTGCACACCACTCAGGAATGTGCCAGTTCCTCTCCAAGATCCAGTGATAAATCCCTCAGCAGAGCTCAGAGCGATCATGCTGCCACCCCATCTGGGTGTCTCGAAACTCGGGGAGGGGTGCAAGGGATGCTATGGGGCCAGGAAGCAGGATGCTGTCATGTTGCTTTATTGAGGAAAGATAGTACTGGAGGGCAAGTACATGTCTTCTGCAGCTGGGTGGGGATGCACAGCCTCTCTGCTCCCCTGGTAGAGCTGGGTGCCAGGGCAGGTTTCATCCCAGGGTGCCTAATCTGGGGTGGGGGGTGGCTGTTGTCCTGCACTGTTGGGCTCTGGTGCAGGTTGATGGTGGTGGTAGGGGAAGTGACCTGTGCACAGATCCTGCATGCAGCCCTCATGTCAACTTGAGGTGGGGCTGCCATGCGCTGACGCCTGGGAGAAGGGGAGGATCTGGGGGGCCAGGCCACCAGGTGGGAGTGACCCTGCACAGGCACTGGGAGGAGGGGTTTTGAGCCAGGACCTGCATCTGCCAAGCCACAGCCCTCACCTCCACATCCCCTGCTCTTCCAGCTTCTCCCTCCGGCTCCGGCTTGTGTTGCTGGGTGTTGTGGTGTTCCTGCCGGCATCCTGGGGAAGGGGTGCTTACAGCCTGCTGCGGCGGCAGCACCTCAGGGCATCTCGCAGGGCGTGCAGCACACGGTCCACATTCCTGCTGGTCGAGTTGCAGCCCATGAGGCCGATTCGCAGGACCTAGGAGAAGGGCGAGTGTTTCCCTGCTGTACCCACCTCTGTATCCATGCTCTGCGAGCAGAGTGGCTTGTGGCAAAGCACAGGCTCCGTGTGGAGCAGGGGCACGGCAGTGCGCGCTGCTGGGTGTAAGTGCATGTGTACAACTCCCTGTTTGCTCCTATTTTAACACATAGTTCCTCTAAAGATTTGTCACCCTGCTAATTACGTGCGCGGTTACTCAATTACGCGTGGCAATTGTGTGTGGTTAGGAGCCGCTATGCGCCGCTGCAGGGGACGGGATGCATCCAGCTGTGTGTTTGCTGTTCGCAGCCAGGGAGCACCAGTTAACTGTGGGGCACGGGTGCAGCTCCAGCTGGGTTTGGTGCCCGGCCAGCGGGAGGGGAGCACGCTGCCCACCTTGCCCACTGAGGGGCCCAGGCCCCCGGAGATCTCGATGGCATGGTTGTCCATGAGAAAGGCTGTGATCTCCTTCCAGTCGTAGCCCTCAGGCACCCTGACGGTGGTGATGGTGGGAAGTCTCGCTTTCTGGGGAGGAGAGAAACTGGGTTAAATCTGCATCCCCTGGCTGTTGCCCTGTCCCTCAGTGAGCCCAGCAGCCTGACAGGAGAGAGCATCTCTGCGTGGTGAGTTTTTTCTCCAGTATCAAAAGCTGCCCAGGCACATCTCCAGCTGCTCAGGGGCATTTTCTCACACTGCCCCTGCACCATGGTGGTGGGCTTGCCCCGCATTCACCTCCTCCTTCACAAAGAGCTCAAGCCCCAGGTCGCACAGCCCCTGGCACAACTGGGCACAGCTGACCCGGTGGTTCTCCCAGGAGTTCTCCAGACCCTGCAAGAAGAGAGGAAGGAGAAGGTCTCTGCCGCTGGTGGATACCTCCTGGCACCCACCACTCCCCCAAGCCCACCAGCACTGCTGGTGCCCCCCTGCCTGCCTGCTGCCACTCACCAGCTCCGCCAGCATGGCCAAGCCTTCCCGTAGGCTGAAGAAGCTGTTGATTGGAGCCGTGTGGTGATACCTGTAAAACCCAAGGAGCACTCAAGTCAGTTCAGCCCAGCCCATCGCAGGGCAGTACTGCAGCTCATGGTGGGGAGAACCAGGGCTCGGTGTCTTCCCTCCTATTCACACAGCGCAGGGGGCATGCAAATCCCCCCCAGAACACTTGGTGACCAGAAGACAGGGTGATGGGAAGACAGGACCCCCAAGCTGCAGCAAAAGGCTGTGGGTGGGACAGCTGCAGCCATCTGTCCTGGGACAGCCTGCTCTCACCTTCGCGGTTCTCCATCACAGCCCCAGTAGTTTGCCAGCCAACGCATGTCCAGGTAGAAGGACGGGGGGTTTGTCTTCCTCCTTAGAACCTTCTCCCTGGTGAAGCAGTGTTGGGGAGGACACAGACCTTGACCCCATCAGCTCTGGAGTGGGGTCAGTTCTGCAGGAGTGCCTCTCCAAAGTGAACACAGTGGCTCCAGCTGCTATGGCTGTCCAGATACGGGCAGGGCTCTGGCCACACAGAGCTGCTGCTGGGTGCACTCTTCAGAGCAGAGCTGGAGCAGATGTCTGGCAAAGCAGGGGGCTGCCAACCCTCATTGCCTTTCCCCGCATCAGTACAGGTTTGCCCCTACCTGGCTTGCTCACTGAATGAGATGGGTGCGCTTCCGGGGGGGGCATTAAGGACTTTCTGAGACCCCGAGTACAGGATGTCGATCTCTGCCCAAGAGGGGAAGCAGCTCTTTAGGTACCAGAGGCTCATAGCAGGGTCACATTGAGCCCCCAACCCCAAGCTCAGGGAAGCACAGAGTGGCACATGCTGCAAGTCCCATTTGTGTTTGGCCTGCATCAAGCACACCTAACACTTGATGGTTCCCCAAGGGGAACAGGCTTTCTGGCTGCAGCTGGACCAGTTTCTAATGCTGCTAGCCCGAAATGCGAGCAGTGAGTCTGATTCCACCTTCCCTTTCTCCTTTGTCCTCCCTTGTGAGCCCCCTTGTCCCCTGAATGCCCATGATGGCACTGTGGCTCTTACCCTGCTGGTCCATGAAGATGGGGGCTCCCCCGAGTGATGCCACCGCATCCACAAGCAGCAGGCAGTCATGCCTGTGTGAAGACAAAGCTCAGCCTGGTGTCACGCCCACCTGCTCTTGACACTTTTTTGCCTGCAGCCCCTGCATCCTGGTCTCACCAAGGCCACATCTCACTGGCAACCAACAACTTCCAGTACAACACAGCCAGAGAAGAGACAGGGCATGTAAACCCCCATGCCCCAATCCCCAATCCACCTACCAGCCCCCATAGGTGCCCACTGTGCACTGACCGGTGGCACAGCTTGCCCAGCCCCTCCAGTGGCTGCAGTACTCCTGTGGAGGACTCGCCATGGGTGATGAAGAGCAGTGAGGGCTTGTGCTGTACCAGGCCCTGCGTGAAACAGAGGGGAAGGTGACTGACCCCGGGGCCAGCTTGTACCCACTGCCGGGCACCATAGCCAGCACTCACCTCCTCGATGTCCCAGGGAGAGAAGTACTCGCCTGGGGGCTTCAGCAGTTCATGTACACTGGCTCCTGGGAGACATTTGGGCAGAAGCAGAATGAGGTTTTGGTGTGCCTTCACCTGGGCAGTCACCCGCTCTGTGGGGGAATTGGTTATGCATGAACCATGAGCATGGCCACCCACAGGGGATCCAGCCTCCCATGGATTTGCTCAGTGGAAAAGCTATAAACCACTTAACTGGAGGGACATCACCCTGCAAAAAACCTGGAGCGCTCTCTGGCTGCAGAAGCTGTGTCACTCACTGGACACTATTGCCGGGATGGGGACAGCAAGCCAGGGGTCACAATCTGGCATCCCACCCACATGCATTTCCATGAGCTCCGCTGGTGCCATTTGGCTGTCCCCAGCATACCCAGCCTCCTGGCGATGTCAGCCGCACGCTGTCCCCAGATGCCATTGACAGCCACCAGCACTGTGTCGCCATGCTCTATCAGGTTGAGGAAGGCAGCCTCCATGGCACAGTGGCCAGTGCCACTGATAGCCAGGGTCAGCTGGTTCTGTGTCTGGAAAGCGTACTGGATGCCCACCTTAATGTCATCCATTACCTGTGGAGACAGGGGACTGACTGGCACCACTATTGCCCTCCCATCCCCTCATGGGAGGTGAGGAAGAGGGGAGGAGGGGAGGAAGGCTGGGCCGGGGCAGCTCACCTGCAGCACCTCGGGGTGCATGTGGCCCAGGAGCTGCCGGCCACCTGCAGCCAGGATGCGAGGGGGCACGTTGCTGGGCCCCGGCCCAAGCAGCAGCCTCTCTGGCACGGCCAGGGGCCGGAGCAGCCGCTGGGGCGGGAGGATGTGGAGCAGGTTGGAGGCCATGGCGTGGCGAGTCCGGAGAGGAGCAGCGGAGGCTGCCCGTGAAGCAAGCAGCACCGCAGCACAGTGCATCCTGTGCCAGCAGAGACCAGCTTTCCCGTGGACCCTGACCCCAGGGCTCGGTGCTCCCCCCAGTGGACTGGACTCTGCCCCTGGTCACCTCCTTGTCTGGTTAATGTGACACCAGCACCATCCCTGCTGTCTCAGCCCCCTCATTTGGGGGGATCCACACTTGCTAGTGCTGGAGGGATGCCAGCTCCTGGCACCCGCAAGCACCCACACAGACCCCATCCCCATGGCTCCCAGAACACTGTGGTTGATGGTTCCCAACACCATCCCAGCAGGTGGGATCCCTGCTCCTGGGCACGCAGGTTCTGTGCCATGGGATGGTTGAGCTGGGACTGGCACACTCACAACTCCTCCAGCAGCCCAAAGCTCTTGTTGGGCAGGTTTCCCTGATCAAGGACCTGCCCTGCAGAAGGACGCCTGGCTGAGTGCTGCCCAGAGGATGCTGCCATTGCAATGATTTTTCACAAGGGCAGAGCTATCAGGTGGGACATGACTGCAGTCCCTGCTGCAGTGAGCTGTGTGCTCTGTGGCTTATCCTGGCTCGTGGGCATCTCAGCATGTCCTGATGATGCCACAGGCCACATGTGCCTGTTACCTTCCCCATGTGCCCAAGGCCCATCGTACCATGTCTAACCTCCAGCAAGTCTTTGTCATCCCTACTCTGAAACATGAGCAAGCTTACCACTGCCAGCTCCTGGCAGATCTAGGAGCAGGCTGCTGGCCAGAGCAATGTTTGAGCTGGATGGAAAGTCCCCCTGGCAAAGCTGGCACTGATGGCTGGTCCTGAAGGCATTTGGGTCAGGGATGTGGGGCTGGCAACACTGCCAGGTGACAGCACTTCTGGCTGGGCAGCTGTATGGTCATCTCTGAGAAGAGCTGGGAGCTGGCATGGCTGACACTGCTTGGAAACCACAGATAGCCTTGGGACTGCTGTCATCATCTACCAAAGTGAGGACAAGAAATCCTAATGTCCTGAGAGATCCTGAGGTCCTCATCCTGTGCTCCAGCCACGTGCTCCTCTGGATGAGAGGCTGTGGCTGCCCCATCCCTGGCAGTGTTCAAGGCCAGGTTGGAGGGGGCTTGGAGCAACCTGGTCTAGTGGAAGGTGTCCCTGCCCGGGGCAGGGGGTTGGAGCTGGCTGAGATTTAACGTGCCTTCCAACCCAAACCAGTCTATGATCCTGTGACTCCACACCACCAGGACTGCTGCCCGATGTTTGCAGCATTGCGAAAACACTCAGTCCCCAAAAACATCAGCAGGAGAGACCCATGCTGCTGTGGATGGGTGGATGAAGACACCTCGGCTGCCTGTCCTCCAGGGACATTTGTGTGAAGTGTGGGGCAGGGTGGGTCATGCGGCCCCGCTGCGGGCATGGAGGGGGCAGGGAGGATGTGCTGCTGGAAACAGCTGGCCGCCGAGGCGTGATCCCCTTTCCGCGCTGGGTTTAATTCCGCCGCGCAGACGGGCAGGGCGCCCCGGGTGCTGCGGGCTCGGCGGCCCCGGGGGGTGATGGAATTCTGCCGGAGGTGGATGCGCCAGCCGGGGCCGCCGGGGCTGGGGTCGGGGCAGGGGCAGGAGCGGGGCTTGGGGAAGGAGAGCCCTGTAGGGGGCAGAGTTACCGGGGGAAATCGGGGATGGAGGGGGCCGGTTGCCAGGCGACGGTTGCCGGGTGACACGGGGAGTTCCGCCCCTCCCCGCGCCCTTGCGGCGGTTCCGCAGCGCGGTCCGGGGGTGTGCGTGTGGGGGGGTGGTCTGACGTCACCGCTCCATCCCCTGCTCGCGCTCTCCCGGCACACCCCCCCCCTTCTCTGGGTGGTGTCGGCCAACCAACGCGCGGGGCGGGGTGGGGGCCGCAGAGGCGGGGCACCGGGCATCGGGCACCGGGCATCGACACCGGCATCGGCACCGCACCGAGCGGCTCGGCCTCATGCCGGCGCCGCCAGCCCACGGCTGAGCGCTGCGCCCCGCAGAGCCGAGCCGAAACGGGCACGGGCACGGGCACGGGCACGGACACGGGCACGGGCACGGGCACAAGCATAAGCATAAGCACAGGTAGGGGAGGGCGGCATCGTGCGGGATGGGGCAGCTCCGCCGCGCCCGGGCGGGGCTGCGGTAGCGCGGACGCGGTCCCAGGGTGCTGGCCGAGGGAGATGCAGCCCCGGCAGGGCTGAGGCGGGGCGCGGGGGAAGCGGGACGCTCCCTCCGCGGGGGTCGGCGGGGCGGAGGACTGCGGCCGGCGGGCGTTGCGCGGAGAGGCGCGGGGAAGGATGGAGGGGGAGGGGGATGCCCGTGGGTCCCCAGCGCTGCAGCCGGCGGGTGCCGCCCCGGCTTCCAGAAGGATCCAGCCGGGGGGGGCCTTCCTGGGGATGGGGCGATGCCTCTTCAGCCGCGGCACCAGCCTGGGGTGGGGAGGGGAAAGATGCTGTCCCCGCTGCCCGTAGGAGGGGGCACAGGGACTGTTTTTCACCCCAGAGCCATGCCAGCTCTCCCCTCCGTGGCAGGTGGCTCTGCCGTGATGTTGAGCCATCTTGCACCATCATCGTTATGCTTCAGAGTCAACAACAGTGCTGGAGGAAGCCGCGAGAGCCCCATTTGGTCTCACGTGGGGAGGGGTGGTGGGGTGGTTGCCAAGCCAAGGCCCTTGCATGCCCCACAAAGATGAGGTGTGCTGCTGACCTTGCGCTTGGGTGCAGCAGGTCAAGGGCTGCCATGTCACTGCGGGCCAGTGACGATGGCTTCTGAAGGAGTGGATGGTCCCTGGATGGAAGGGCTGGTGTACAGCCCCATACTTGGCCACCTTGGCTCCCAGGGAGCAGCCCTGCACCTGCTCTATTGTCTTTTTCCTCTGCCTCTTCTTCCTCTTCCTCCCGCATGGGGCAGTGTCCCCTCCCCTGGACGCTATAGGCCCCGGTGTGCCAGCATCTCCTGCCCTGTCGTGTCCCATGCCTTGGCTGTGAGGCTTGGGAAGGACAAGGAACTAGCTGAGCATTTCTCCTGCCGCTCCATGGCCGTACTTCCACACCCCAATGCCTGGAGTAGCCTCAAGGCAGGTGGTGTTGGTGGCATGAGGAGGGGCAGCAGACTCCCTGTGGGGTTCGGCCAGGGGAGTGGTGGGCGCTGCCATCCATCCCTGCACACTGCCACTGACCTCCATTTTGTCTGGGAGATGGCAGCGGGCGCTGGCACAGATGCTGTCACCACTCCCTCCCCACCTCCCTGCATGTGGTGAGAGCTGCAGCCCTCAAAGCCCAGGCAGGGCCAGAACCTGGTGTTCTCCCCTCCCTCCTCCCAGCTGCCCACCCCTGTCTGTGCTCAGCCATACTGATAACCCACCGGAGCTCGTTGCCTTTTCCATGCAGCTTTTTCCCATTGTTGGTTTTAGTGTGTAGAAGAATGGATGGAGACAGCAGGCGATGGAGCGTGAGGTGACTCGCCTTTGCAGCAGGGATAGGGAGCTGATCAGCAGCAAGCAAAACCCCTCATCCATGGCCTTATTTGCTTCCTGCAAATTTTAATCCACATGGAAATTCACCAGGAGCTGCAAGTACTGCCCCAAAGTCATTGTCCCCCATTGGGGTGGGAAGGAGGCGAGAAGGCACAGGGGCAGAGTAACCAAAATGGCTCCAGGGAAGTGGGTGGCTGTTTTTCAGCTGGGGATGGGGGGGGACTGCTCATGCCCTGAGCTGTCCTCCAAGCTGCTTCCCCCACCCATGGGAAATTGCAGCGTCATGGCCCCTTGCTGTGCGCAGTGCTGCCATGTCATCTGGACCAGGTGCCCCCAGCATCCCCCCACACCATCCCTGTTGTCTCCAGAGGAAGTGCAGGGTCCCCTGGTCTCAGACAGGGTGGGGGGGGGGGGGTGGGGGGGTGGTGCAAAAAAGGGTGCAGGGTAAGGGCTTACTAAAACAAAGCCATTGGTGGCTGAGAGCACCATGGCTCAGGAGGCGCAGCCAGATGGGGCATCCGCCCTCACTGCCGAGGTGATGTGGGGATGTGCCTCACAGACAAAAGGAGAAACTTACCTTTGATTTCCCTCAGTGCAGGCAGCTGCCAGAGGTACTTGTGGCCCCAGGGAGGCAGCCCCTGCCTTGTGCTGGCTGCTGGGAATGGGAATCCTGGCTGTGCTGACCTGTGTTAGCATCACTGGAACCCTGGTGTCCTGCAGCACCCAGAGGTCAGGCAGCACGTAATGTCCCTGCAGCATCCTTAGGGGAGGAGCTGGCTGTGGGTGGCACTTGGGGACAATGCTCCCCGTCCCAACGGTCACCTCTTGGCAGTGGCAGGAGGGCTGCCAGTTGGTAGCCCTCGGACTTAAGAGAGCTCTCGTTAGCTAATCTCTGCCCAATTAATCTTAGCTGATCCAGTTAATCATGGCTCTCTAGGCCTTTTCCTCATCACCTAGGGCTGGCAGGGATGCTGTGGGCTGCGCAGGAAGCAGGGCGAGAGATGCCCTGCACAGTTGAGGGATAGATCTGGACCTTCCTGCCCCCTGGCACCACAGTCTGGGGACTCTACTGGCCTCCTCCACTGTCTCCTTTGTGTGTGGGGTGGTCCCGGGAGGTTGCAGGGAGGAAGCCAGGAGTGGGGCCACGGTGCTGGCCCGCTCCCAGGGAAAGGCTGATAGCAGCTTATTGAATTTCTCTCGATGGCAGATTAAACAGGCGGTGGCTGACTATCCCCGGGCAGAGCAAGCTGGGCTTGAGCCACCCGCTGCCCTGGGGGGAGGCTGCCTGCCTCTGCCCTGCCTTCCTCTGCCCTGCCTGCCTCTGCCCTGCCTGCCCGCCGTGGTGTGTGCCCCCTCTCTGGGGGATTCTGAGAGCCTGCAGCCAGGGATGTGAGTGCTGGCTGTGGCTGGTGGTGCTGCCACATTGCATGGATTGCAGGCTGATTCTGCAGAGCCAGGAAAATAGGAGTTGGGGGAAGGAAAAGAGGCTCAGGAGAGAGCTGGGCAGGGGGCTGCTGGTACTCTCAGGAGGTGCACGTTGCTGTCTGGAGTCCTCGCACTGATGTGTCAGAGATAGGACTAGATCGCTGCAGAGGAGCAGGAAGGAAGCAAGTGGCACATTGCCGACCGAGGAGGCTGAAGGAAATGGATGGAGCTAGAAAATGGAGCTGAGCTTGTGGTTCTGCAGCAGTGAATACCGGGAGGGAGAGGAGCCCACGCCCTGGACTAGGCAAGCCAGATGGCTTGCTGGGAATACACCGGGATGTGGGCATCAGGATGGCACGGGGAGAGGAGAGGTCCTGATGGTGATGAGGGGGCTTCTCACAGCCAGCAAGGGTGGGCTGTGGTGGTATTACAGTGGGACTGAGTGGGCCCTCCTGGCAGAGGAGGGCAAGCAGCCATCAATAGATGGCATACAGCAAGATAAGGCATCCAGAAAAGTGGGACGAAAGAGAAACCAGTGCTGCTTCGTGGGAAGTGATGGGGCTGAAGGGGCTGTGATGGGAACCGCACAGGGGCGGGATGGAATGAGCAGCAGTCGGTTCCAGGGCTGGTGGGGTCACTGATGGGTGGTACTATTCCAGTGCTGGTGGCTCTTGCCAAGTGCTGTGCTGCAAGTCGGAAGCCTGGGGGCCTGAACCACCTCTTTACAGCCCTGGGAACAGGGGGGAAGGAAGCTATCCAAGCTGTGGAGGAGGACAGGGCAGACTTTGACACAGGTACTTGCTGCCTGCTGTGTGGGTAATGGGTGCTCCATCATCCCTGATCACCAGTGGTGCCACAGGGTGGAGCAGCTCAAGCCAGTGGCCCGGTGAGGGTGCAGCCTTTCCACCCAGGAATATATCCCATCGTTTTATGGGAAAACCCAACTTTTTCATTCCCCTTTGGCAAGGAGTCCTGCTTAATTTTTTCCTTCTCCCCATCTGAGAAAGCAGCAGGGTGGGAAAGCAGAGGCCTGTTGATATGTGGCAGCCCACTTGCAGGCTCAGGGACTCAACAGTGGTGTTAAGCACCCGCTTAAAATAATCCATGCTCAGGAAAGCCTGAGACCAAATGCTTGAGCTCTGGAGCTGGTGGGATTTGAGGATGTGATTGCTGGCTGAGCACAGTGGGAGCTCTGGAGTGGGCAGTGAGAGGAGGGCTTGGGAAATGGAATGGGAGAAGGTTTGTCCTCCTACTGTCAGGAGCACAGGCTGGCTTTTAAAGCAAGCAAAGACAGCACCAAGCTTGTAACACTTTCTGGCTGTGAATTTTTCCACTGCACCATTAGTATACCTGCCTTTGGCTTTCCTCCCAACCCCACTGGAAATAAAACTGGAGCTGTCAAACCTCGGTTTGTTTTCAAGCCATCCTCTTCTCTTGGGACACTGTCCATTCTTTGGATTTCTTCTTTCTTCCAACCCTCCCTCCCCCATCCCCACCCCTTTCCCTACAAACTCATCTATATTTTTCATTTCCATTGTGGGAAAAACCCATCTCATGTTGAGGACACATCCTTACTGCTCCACTTCCATCAGGTCACGGTATTCATAACCACAGCTGTGCCATTGCTCACTCCTGGCAAAGAGCAGGTTCAAAAACCCCAGGGCATTTGCAAACACCCTTGCAGGAATCCAGCAGGCAGGAGTCCCACAGGCAGGGATGCTGGAGGAGCTCATGCTGTATGATGCTGAGCTCCTCTTCCATTGGCAAGGGCATAGGGGGCAGGAGGCAGGCAGGAAAGAGGGTTTATGTTAGAATGCAGGAATGGATTTCGTCAGGGCTGATACTGAATGATACTGATACTGACCCAGTGGTCAAGGGAAGGACCCCAGCATTCTCTTCTGGCCAAAGCTAGTGAGGCTTAATTGAGGCTTGGGGAAGATGGGACCAGCTGCAGAGAGCCTGGACATCAGTGCTGGAATGAGTGGCTGCTCTGGCAGATGTTAGAGAGTGGCCCATTTCATCTTGTAAGGTTTGTGATTAATAATTTATTAGTAAAAGGAGTGGACAAATGATCACAAAATGGGAACTTCAGCTGAGTGTGATTGCTACCGGCTTGTTGGCTGGTGCTGCTCCTGCTGATGCTGCACATCTGCTTTTGCTAGGAGCTGAATGAGAGGCAAATATCAGCAGTTGTGTTCAACAAGCACCTCTTTTCTCAATATGAATGCCATCATTTATCTGGCCCTCCACCCAGTCCTGCTGCCCATTCCAGGCTTTGCTGGCGCTGGACTGGAGGCAGGAGGCTCAGGTGATGGGCAGGGCATTGCAGGCTTGCTTGCAGGTGAAGGGTTACCTGCTCAGTGCCATTGGCACCCTGGGATGGAATAACTGTTCCTTGGGGGTCATGCTGTTGCTGACTGTGCCCAAGCGGCCCTATACCCTGTTGTGGTTACCCACCGAGTGACGCTGCAGGGCTCTGATTGCTGCATTGGGGTAAGGGCAGGAAGGGATGTCCCCTGGGACTGACCAGGTGATCCTCACCCGAAACATAAGGGGAAGGGGGAAGAGGCAAAACATGGGCAGATCAAGGGATGCAACAGAACGTCATCTTTCAAGCAGAGACAACCCAGGGTCCACAGGAGGTTTTGTCACACAGGTATTTATCTGACACACACAAGATGGGGACTGGGATGTGAGGTCTCCTAACTCCCATTTCTTGCCTCCTTGCAGGACAGCCGCTGCTCCCTGCTAGCAGGACCCACCTCCAGCTGGCACGATGGCAGGAGCATCTGTGAAGGTGGCGGTGCGCGTCCGGCCATTCAACTCCCGGGAGATGAGCCGGGAATCTAAATGCATTATCCAGATGTCAGGAAGCACCACCAGTGAGTGCCAGTGTTGGTGACAGAGGGGCCTGGGGAGGTTTTGGGTGCTGCCTGGGTTGGAGCATGTGCAGTCAGGCTGCAGCAGCAAGCACTGGGGTGCTAGATGTTTGGTGTGGTTTTCTGGAGTCCTTTGGAAGAGGGAGTCTGGGGGGGGTCTTCATGTTTCCCACAGGGAAATGCAGTCCTGCTGTTGAAATGGCAGCATCGGAATCTACATGGCACTGAGCCCTTGTGTTTTTGTGATACTGAATGGGGCAGGATCCCCCAGCAGGTGACGGGGTAGGGGGAGAATCAGAAGAGCCTGGAAATGCTGGTGCATGGATGTGCGGCTGAGGATGCCCAGCCTGTGGCTGCTTGGCCAAGCATGGAAGCTGTGCACCAGCCAGTGAGTGGCTCCTGACAGCACTGGCTCCCAGGTACCATGCACCACATTGTGCCAGGACCCATCCCCACTTCTGTGGGGAACCATGCAGGATGGAGGAGTGGGAGTGGGATTTGCCAAGGGAATGGTGTGCTCAGGGAGGGGGAATGTAGCACAGGAGCTTGGGACTTCTTATCCAATCAGAGGCCTATCTGGCATTTGCCCCTCTTTAAATAACCATAGAATCATAGAATGGTGTGAATTAGAATGGACTTTAAAGCTCATCCAGTTCCAACCCCCTGCCATGGCCAGGGACACCTTCCTCTAGACCAGGTGCTCCAAGCCCCATCCAACCTGGCCTTGAACACTGCCAGGGATGGGGCAGCCACATTCTCTGGGCAACCTGTGCCAGGGCCTCAGCACCCTCACAGGGAAGAGTTTCTTCCTAATATCTAATCTAAATCTACCATTTTTCAGCCCAAAGCCATTCCCCCTTGTCCTGTCACTACAGATCCTTGTAAAAAGCCCCTTGCCAGAATTCTTGTCAGCTCCTTTAGACACTGGAAGCTGCTCTAAGCTCTCCCTGGAGCCTTCTCCAGGCTAAACAAGCCCAGCTCTCTCATCCTGTCTCCATAGCGGAGGTGCTCCAGCCCTTGGAGCTTCATGGCCTCCTTTGGATGCACGTGAGCAGCCCCATGTCCCTTTTGTGTTGGGGTCCCAGAGCTGGACACAGGTCTATGGGGGGATCTCAGACACTGGAGTAAAGGGGGAGAATGCCCTCACTTGACCTGCCGGTCACGCTCCTTCTGATGCAGCCCAGCATATGGGCTGGAACTATGGGGTGGGGAAGGCGGCTTCCTCTTTGGCTGTGGAAGCCACCAGATAAGGATAGAGTCTAAAATAACTCCCTGCCTGTCTGCCAGGGGCTTCCTGCCTCACAGACGGTGGTGGGTGAAATGCTGGCGCCAGCTACCCCCGCAGTGTGCCAGTGGGTACTGTGACACCCACAGTGAGAGAGAGAGGAGGGTACCCAAAGGTGCAGGGCAGCTCTGTGGCCCTGCTAGGTCCCCTTCTTACCCTGAACCTGTGGAGAAGGAATGAGGAGTTGTGGGTCCATAAGGTAGTATTTGCTGGTCTCTGGCATCCCGGGGCGGGACTCCCTGCCCCGTTATGCAGGGATGCTCTGTCTGCCCGTGGTGCAGAGCTGCTCCCCTCATGGCGAGGAAGCCACTCCCGGTCAAGAGCGTTGGGCACCCCCACCTCCACCATGGCCGTGTTTGCTCAGAGCAATCTGTGCATGGCCATCCTGCTCCACTGAGCCCCCCCTCCGGCTGTGCCCCCGGCCCTTCACCCCTGCTTGCACTGCGAGGGCTGGCAGGGCTGCAGGCAGGCGCAGGGGCAGCGCTCGCCAGCCCTTTGCTGACGGCGAGGTTTTTCTGCATGAGTGGACACACCGTCGGCTAATCCCCTCGACCTGGGGGCAGGCGCCAGGGAGGCTCTGGTCCTGCTCCTGCTGCTGCCTGGGGAAGGCAGGGGACGCGGTGGTGCCGGCTGCTCCCCTGCAGAGCGGGGCTGTCTCGGGCCCCCGGCTCCTTGCAGAGAAGCCAAAAATAAATGTGTTTGCGTGGGGCGAGAACGAGTCTCCCCTTTCCCAGCGCTATTTGCGGAGACACCTGGACATGCCAGGGCAGCGAGCGTTGTTCTTGTGCCTAATGCACTCAGCCCTCGGGGCCAGGACGGGCTGGGCACCGGGGCAGGACGGGGTCAGCTCTTCTCCGCTGCCCTGTTCCTCCGCGGACTTGCAGCTCCCACCCCTTGGCTTGCTGCGCCGCGGCTGCCAACACCGCTGCTTTGTTGCTGTGGCGTCTCCGCCTCTGCACGGCTGCGGGGCGTAGCCCAGCTACCAGCACACCCCCCCCGGCCCCTCTCCTGGCAGCTCCCATCAGGACGGCGAGGAAGCGACCCTGGCTTCCATCCTTCGAGGCCATTAATATTCTCTAGCTGAAGCCACAAGTCTTGTGGGCTTTGAAATATAGTGATTATGTTCACTCTTGTGGGTCTTGGGTTTTGTCCTGCTTGGTGCTTGACCTCTCGCTATCTCTGCCATGCCTCTTCAGGGTGAAGACAAGGGTCATCTCCGTATGTTTTCCTCATCCTGCTCGTGTTTGTGTGTCTGCCTCAGTCCTCTTTCTGTGTCCTCCCTGCCTTTTTTAACCCCCGTTGGCCAGAGCACGGATCTTTTGCAGAAGCTTTGCAAAAAGCCCTGGGATGCCTGGTCACAGGAGAGGGAAAAAGTCACCCGTGACATCCAGCCATGGAGCAGGGGCAAATAAACTGGAATGAAAGTGGCATGGGGAGCATATTTCTGCTCAGGGACGGCAGACTGCTGCTCTCGAAGTGCTCCCTTCTTGCCTGTGTCCCAGTCTCCGCTCTGCCGGGCCAGCTGGATGGATGCAGCTGGGATGCCCGGAGTTGCTCGGTGCCATCCCTGGTTGCTCCTCCGCCCCGTGCCCAGCGTGAGCTGGCACTGGAGTGTAGAACAGCTGCCTTGTGCTGCCCCATTCTGTCTGCTCCTCTTTTTGCCCTCGTTGTACTCCTTTTTGGCTCTGGTGAGGGTCACTTCTGCAGCGCAGAGACAGACCCAGGCTGAGCACTGGGAGGCTGGGTACCATGGCAGAGGTGCCAGGGGAACCCCAGGAGCCACTAGAGTTGCTCCATTGGCTTCTTGCATGGCCTTGCATTGCTTTCTTTTGCAATGGCTGCTCACACATCCTCAACACACCAACCAGTCACTAACAGGGGTGGGCAGCCCCCACGGCCTGGTGCCATTTCAGTCTGTATCTCAGTGGGGACTTCCAAGTCCCCAGCCCAAGAAAACTGAAGCACCTCTCCTATGAATACAGTCTGAGAGAACTGGGGGTATTCAGTCTGAAGAAGGCTCAGGGGCTTAGAGCAGCTTTACATACTAAGAAAAAGTTCTTTCCTGTGAGGGTGGTGAGACACTGGCACAAGTTGCCCAGAGAAGCTGTGGCTGCCCCACCCCTGCAGTGTTCAAGGCCAGGTTGGACGGGGCTTGGAGCAACCTGGTCTAGAGGGAGGTGTCCCTGCCCATGGCAGGGGCTGGAACTGGATGAGCTTTAAGATTGCTTTCAACACAAACCATTCTATGAGTTGTACCTTCAGGATGGGCAGTTGTTATGCAGCTATCACTTCCCAGCCCTTTCTCCTGGTTAATTAGTCCTGGATGCTGTAGTCATCTGGAGCATGAGTCATGCTGCCTCCAGTAGGCAGGGAACCAGTGCCCAGCCCCTCTTTGGTGCTGGGCTCCTGCCTACAGTGAGGGGCATCTGGGCACCACCATGCTGCAGTTTCATGGTCAAGGCTGGATCCTGGGGCCAGTTGGGAAGGCCTCAGCTTGAATCCCAAGGGCACGAGCCCTGCCTAAGTGCCAGCCCCAGGCAGAGCAGGTTGGGGTTGTGATGGGGGGAGCTCCATCAGCCTTGGTGCTGTGCAGCCTCCTGGTCCCCAGCAGTGTCAGGGAGCAGCAGGGGGCTGTGGGCACAGGAGCTGGGCTGTGCCGCAAGGTCATTTCAATGTTGCCTGACATGGCTTGTGGCTGGATCTCGTGATTACCCCGCTGATTTGGGTTTCTTCTGACGCATCTGTTGTTTCAGAAAAAAACCATCATAAATGCCCAGGGAGGGGGGGGGGGAGCGAGGACGAGAAGTGATGCAGTCTCCAATTTCCATGGCAACGTCCTTTTCACCAGGGGATAGGAAAAAGCAGGCTCTTGTTTCCGCTGGCAGTGTAACACAAGGCATTAACCACTCTGCTGGGGCTGGGTACCCAAGAGAAAGAGCAGGGGAGGAGAGACAGGAGCTGGAGAGGGATTGGGGGAGCCCTGATGGGGCCATGGCTGCTCCCACCTCACCGTGCCAATGCACGTAGCCTTGGGCCTGAATCCCCCAGCCATGGGGTGAAGGAAGGCTGTGATCCTCCCATACTGGTGCTGGTACTGGTTCTGGGTTCCAACAAGCAGAAAGGAGCCCAAAGGAAGGAACTGTTTCACTCACACTGCCCAGCGGGACGTTTGGACAAGACTCTGCCCGGTTCCTTTGGCTGTTGTAGGCTTTGGGGCCATGGTGCCCACCTCCTCTGCTGTGACTGAGTCTGGGAGCTCTGGACACATCTGTGGAGCTGGATGGTCGCAAGTTCTGCTTTCTATGACTGCTTCAGACTGAACCCCACACCCTTCTCCCTTCAGAAGTGGGATGCAGGTGGCAGGGTACTGTGGATGACTGGGTGGCCTCACATTCCATTCTGTTTGCCCCTAGCTATCCTGAACCCGAAGCAGCCCAAAGAGACACCAAAAAGCTTCAGCTTTGACTATTCCTATTGGTCCCACACTACGGTAAGCATCAGGAGGCCTGAGCCTGGAGCACTGGGCTGGGGAGGGCAGGAGGACCTCCTTGCCAAATTTCTCCTTATCCCCCTCCTCTCTGCAGCCTGCAGATATCAACTATGCATCTCAGAAGCAAGTGTACCGGGACATTGGTGAGGAGATGTTGCAACATGCGTTTGAAGGCTATAATGTCTGCATCTTTGCCTATGGGCAGACGGGTGCTGGAAAATCCTACACCATGATGGGGAAGCAGGAGAAGGACCAGCAAGGCATCATCCCTCAGGTACCACCTGGTGAAAAGCTACCTGTTACCCTGGCCACAGCGGGATACCCAAACTAAAAGTGGAGTGGGGAGGAAGGAGGGAAGTAGGGAAGGACCAGGGCCAGGCTTGACCAAAGTCTGATGCAACCCTGTTACAGCAGCAAGGTGCTCAATGGAGGGCAGGGGGACAAGAAAGCATAACACTGGACTTCTCTGAGACTGGATAAATGACAGTCTGGCCACACAACGTGTTTGTGAGAAGCTGCAGTCCAAGTGCCAGCCAGCAGCAGCTGTGTGTACCAAGAGCTGCTGCATGCTGGACCAGGAGGGTACCGGGAGGGGTCTGGGAATGCTGAGCCCCCCATATCGGGGGGGGGGGGGGGGGGGGGGGGGGCCTGCCAGCTCCCCAGGAGCTGTCCCAGCACTTATGGGGCTCTGTCTTTTGGAGTGAGAAGGTAGAAATCCCTGTGGCTTGGGCATTCTGCATCCTTATGATGAGGGGGGGTGAGCAGCCTGGTTCTTCTCTCTGCAGCTGTGTGAGGACCTCTTCTCCCGCATCAATGACACGACAAATGACAACATGTCCTACTCAGTGGAGGTAGGCACCCCATTGCCTGTCTAGTCCAGCTTCAGCCTCCCACCCAGCTCTGCAAGCCATGGGGGTGTGCAGACCCCTCTTTAGGGGATCCCATCTCTGGATGTGGGTTGGGTGGGCAGGGCCTCATTCTGCCTATGAACTGAGCATCCACATGCTGCCGGTCACTAGATTTGCCCATACCCTCTGCTGTAGGTGAGCTACATGGAGATATACTGTGAGCGTGTGAGGGACCTCCTGAACCCCAAGAACAAGGGGAACCTGCGAGTAAGGGAGCATCCCCTCATGGGCCCATATGTTGAAGACCTTTCCAAGCTGGCTGTGACCTCCTACAACGATATCCAGGACCTGATGGACTCTGGGAACAAGGCCCGGTGAGTTGGGGAAGCAGGAGATGGTCATGATTTGGAGAGCTTGCAGACATCTCCAGAAGGTGCTGCCTAACTTCCATGCTTTGATGGTCTGGCTGCTCTGAGAGTGGCAGTTGCCTCCTGTCTGAGCACTGGGTACCCCCCACTTATTTTCACCTTACCTCTTTCCTGCTCTCAAAATGCCCAGAAGCCAGCAGGAAAAAGCCTGGACTTCTGCATGCCTCCTCCCAGAGTCCTCTCCTGTTCTCCAGACTTGCCTTTCCTGTCCTGAGATGAGCCCTGGCCCCATCGCCAGCCGCTCCAGTGTCCCCTGCAGAGTGTCAAACTTTCCTGTCCTCCTCTCCCTGCAGCACGGTGGCTGCCACCAACATGAACGAGACCAGCAGCCGCTCCCATGCCGTGTTCAACATCATCTTCACGCAGAAGCGGCATGATGCCGAGACAGACATCACCACTGAGAAGGTGAGAGCAGAGCCTGGGGGAATCCACATGAACCCAGGAAAGACTTTGTGTGCTATCAACAGCACTTGGGATGAGATGGTGCAGCCTGATAGAGGCTCAGAACCGGCTGGAGATAAGTCCCAGGCACACGCTGGTCTCACAGTCTCTCAAGGGACTGCCCCTGGACAGGATATTTGGAAGTTAGTGCCTTCCAGCTCTGCCTGCAAGGATGTTAGCCCTGCTTCTAGTCAAATCGTGGCAAGAATGACCCTGCAGAGCCCACCCTTACCTTCAGAACAGTGTCATCCGTCAAGGGGTCTTTGCTCCCTCCTTGGCTCTGTGCTGGGGCTGAGTCTCATCTCTGCCTGCAGGTCAGCAAAATCAGCCTGGTAGACCTGGCAGGAAGTGAGCGAGCTGACTCCACTGGTGCGAAGGGCACAAGACTAAAGGTGAGAGCTGGCATGAAGTCCCATTCTGCTGGCAGGGATGCCGTGTCCAGTCCTCTCATCCTCAGCTGTGACGCCTCCTTTCCTTGCCTGGTTCCTTGCCCACTACACTGCCAAAATCCTTGACAGGGTTTTGTTGAAAGCTGCTCAGTGCTCTTGTATCAGGGTCTATGAGTCCCAGTTGGAAGGTGCTGGTTACCCAGTAAGAGCAACTGCTCTCTGCCCACCCTGCACTGGGACTTCCCCATTCCCCTGATGCACTGGGCTTTAACACCATTCTGAAATTACATGAGTGTCTGAGCTTTTCCTCTCTCCACCAGGAAGGAGCAAACATCAACAAGTCCTTGACCACGCTGGGGAAAGTCATCTCTGCCCTAGCCGAAATGGTAGGTAGCTGGAGTGTAGGAGAGCAGCAGCACCATGGGGAATGGGCTCAGCTTAGCAGGGATGGGCTAGCTCTGAGGGATGGATCATCCTGGTTCCAAGGGATGGGCAGATATACCCCAAGCTGTCCCTGGGACTGGGACAAGCTGGGCTGGTGAGGATACCATCTCCACAGGAACCTGTGCCTGCTGCCCTCTGCCTGGGGCTGGGGAGCTGTGGTGGGTGCTAAGGAGGGGAACAGCCCACTGAAACAGTCTTTCTACTTTCTTTACAGGATTCAGGGCCAAACAAGGTAGGTGCTATGGCTGGGCTGGGAAAAGGAAGGTTGGTTTTTAGCACAGCTGGGTGGTAGTGGGTCACAGGGTGATTTGGGTGTGAGGCTCTGCCTGGATCCAAGCCACACTTCTAGAGCCTGAGAGCCCTCAGCATGCTTATTACCCTGTGGCTCTAGGTACCCAGAATAAAAACCCAGCATTAGCTCCCCCTAATGACCTGTGGATTTGAGCAGAGCTGCCTAAGGTCATGGTGGCTGGGCAGAGCCATCCTCCTCCACGTCCCCATGGTTGAGGACCAGCTGTCACCTTCCTTTGGAAGAAAGCAGGCAGTTTGACAGCTCTTCCCTCCACTCTCCATCCCCAGAACAAAAAGAAGAAGAAGACAGATTTCATCCCTTACCGGGACTCAGTGCTGACCTGGCTACTGCGAGAGAACCTGGGTGAGGAAGTGGGTGGGAGATATGGGCTTGGTGGTGGGCATGCCTGCCAGGTGAACGGTGATGCCTGGCGTGGGACCAGCATCTTCCTGATGGAGGTGTATCTCTTCGGGCAGGGGGCAACTCCAGGACAGCCATGGTCGCTGCTCTCAGTCCTGCTGACATCAACTACGATGAGACCCTCAGCACTCTCAGGTAGGAAGAATTATCATTGTACCTCCACAGTGGTAAAGGGTAGGGGTGGTCTATGAAACCCAGGCACTGCCACATGCTCTCCTCACCTCTGTGGCATCCCTGGCTGGCGAGTGGGGAACCTGCAACCTCAGGCAAGAGCCCAAAGGCTTGTCCTGGTGCTGGGATCCTCCAGAGGATCACATGCTGGAGGGACTTGGCAGCACTCCTGCTTGCCCAGCAGGTGGGAGTTTGCCCTGCTTCTGCTGCTGCTCAGGGCTCTGCCCTTCCCTAGGTACGCTGACCGTGCAAAGCAGATCCGCTGCAATGCTGTCATTAATGAGGACCCCAACAACAAGCTCATCCGGGAGCTGAAGGATGAGGTGGCACGCCTGCGTGACCTTCTCTACGCCCAGGGCCTTGGGGACATCATTGACAGTAGGTACCACCCGGTGCTCCCTGGCAATGGCTCCAGACAGCAGGCTGGAGTCCCCCCTGCCTGCGGGGCCAGCATCCCTGCAGCTGCCCCGCATCCTGCTCTGCTGGCCACGTGGCAGCATCATGCTGCCCATGTGTGTCTGGGGTGCTTCTGGAGAGCCCCTATGTGCACATTTGCAACCCCCATACCACTCCTGTAAGCAGGAAGAGCTGCTTTATACCAGCAGATCTCCCCTTCTCCCCTTCCCCCTCCTGTCTTCAGCATCCCATGCCAGGCAGAGGTTCATGGGGCTGTACCTGCCTGTGGCCACTCCTCTGTGTGTTTTCAGATATCCTACTGAGATGAACCCACTCTTGTTCTGTTCTCACTGTCTTACTCCTGCTCCCTGCCCTCTCTCTCTTTCTTAGCCCATCCTGCTGCAGGAGGATCCAAATGTGTGTATTCCCCATCACTGGTACTCTCTGTTGCTTCATAGCTTTTGGGAGGTGTAGGCTGCGCCTGGGGGCACCTATGCAGCATGGGGAAGGGCTTCCGTAGCCAGCCCCAGCTGATCATGGAATTAACTAGTTTGGAAAAGACCGTTAAGATCATCAAATCCAGCTGTTACTTGCCTACAGGCTGGCTGTCTCCAGGGAGCAGGCAAAGGGGATGGTGGCAGTCATGGTTAGCACCTGGGCTGAGCATAGTGCTTGGACGGACCAGCATCTTCCCCCTCTGCTGTGCTTAAGGCCTGATCCCCGTGGGGACTCCTTCCTCCTTACTGTCATGAGGATTTCTGTCGCTGCTGCTGCTTCTGCTGACACTGAGGCTCTTTGGGACTGGAGCCCAGCACAGTGCTTGGGTGGGCTGGTAGGGTGCTCTCCTGATAGAGGGATGCGTGGTGATGGCCAGTAGGTTTTTGCCTGTGGATAAGCACTATCTCCCCATCCAACCCTGGGCCAGGCAGTGCAGCCAGACTACGGTGAGTCCACTAGGAGATGGGGACCTGCCCCCTCCCCTCCTGGCTCAGCTTCCCCAGACACAGGCTGATAGAGATGGCTGGCCAAACTACACCTGATAACCTGTGCCATGCCTGCCTCTGGTACAGCGTGCTGAGCCCCTGCAATTGGAGACTAGAGGAGCATCTCCTTATGCCTGGGTCCCTTTGCCACAGGGTCTGATGGCAGCTGATTGCCAGTGCCTGTAATGGGAGTGTTGCCACCTTGCTCTCATTTTTCTTTCTCTGGATGCCTGGCCAGGGTCATGTTCCAACATGCCAGGGATTGGACTCTGCCAGGAAGGGGGGATCCCACGGCTTCTCCTGTTCCATCCTCTGGACCCTTTTGTAGGGCATAAGGCCACCAACTCTCCTGCCCTTCCTTTCTCATTCCCTGCCACCGGATCCAGCTAATCTGGGGCAGCTGGACAAGGAAAATCATCTGTGCTGTGTCAGCGGGGGAGGACAAGAGGGACAGTGGCACTCTTGGGAGGGAGGTTGATAATAGACCTGATGGCTGCCGGATCTGGTGTTGCCAAAAAGCATTTACAAGAGTCTAGGAAGTCTCCAGGGCTGTTGTTGGGAGGCTGCCTGGGCTGGGGGAGACATGCATATGCCCTTACTCTGCTGCTGCCTATGCTGCTGTGCTGTTGCATGTGCTTTTTCCTTGTAATTCCTGGCTTTTTTCTCAATGCATCCAGCCACTTTTTTTTTTTCCCAACAGCTTTTCTTGTCTCTGTCTTTCTCTTTCTCTCTCTCTTCCTGTCCGTGTGTCTTTCCCTGGCCCATCCCTCCTTCCTCACCCGTAGATGTGTCCGACTTTGAGAACAATAATGATGCTAGAGGGACAGAGCTGAGTCACCGCCATGACAATCTCTCCACAGTGACCAATGCCATCGCTGGGATCAGCCCCTCTTCGTCCCTGTCAGCCTTGTCCAGCCGTGCAGCCTCTGTCGCCAGCCTCCATGAACGCATCATGTTTGCTCCAGGCAGTGAGGAGGCAATCGAAAGGCTCAAGGTAAGAGACTGGTGTCCAGCACTGTGGAGGCCTCAGCAAAATGTTCTTGCACTCAGGCTTGTGAAGGGCGCCCGATATTTTCTGGAAACCCATTTGAGAATGTTCATGAGAAGCAATGCTCGGGTGTGCTCTTGCAGAGCAGACAGACCCAGAGTTGCCCGGTGTTCTGGATTTCCAGATGGGAGAGGACTTGGCATGGTAGGGTGCTGCTGTCTTCCCTGTGGGGTGACTGCTGCCTTTGCCCTGTGGGATGGGCACTCCTGACTTGGGATGGGTATTCCTGGCTCAGCATGGCAGAAGAGCAGACTGGCAGCAAGGGGATGGAGAGGCTGGTCTTTGTTCCTTTTTGAGGATGGGGATGATGGAAAGATGTGGGTGAATGTTGCTGTGGCTCCTGTAAACCAGCCTGAAACTTGGACCAGTGTCCCACTGCGGCATGCTGGCCAGAGCCAGGCAGAGCAGGAAGGTGTGCTGCCTGGAGGATGTCCTAACCCCTGATAACCCTCTGCTTGCCAGGAAACGGAGAAGATTATTGCAGAGCTGAATGAGACATGGGAGGAGAAGCTGCGTAGGACAGAAGCAATCCGGATGGAAAGGTGGGTGGGTTGGACTGGGATGGGATTGCAAGGGATGGCATGGGGTGGGGGTCCTCAGGCATCTCCCCTCCTCCCTTCTTGGGGCACTTGGCAACTTGACTGTCTGGCTGTACCTGGGCACACCAGTGTCCACCACATTAGCCTCTACAAACATTGTCTGCTCTGAGAAACCCTCCTGAGACATGAAAAGAGCTGAAGCAAGCCCTACAGCTGTGATCTATGGGGCAATCCCATGAGCTCAGGTCCTGTCCTGGGCTTGTCTAGAGCGGGCTCCAGGGACTCATGGGGCTTTGACAGGCTCTTTTTTCCCTTGCTCCTTCAGGGAAGCGTTGCTTGCCGAAATGGGGGTGGCCATGAGGGAGGATGGAGGCACCTTGGGTGTTTTCTCTCCTAAGAAGGTAGGATCATCTTAATCTCTTCTTCCTGGCAAACAAGGGCTGATTTGTAACCCCACAGCCCCTTCCAACCTGCCCTGTCACTGCTGGCCAGCCCCAAATATTTTGCTAGCCTTTCCTCCGAAACCAATGGGGGAAATCACAGTGTTGACTCTGCTGGGTACGAACATCATTAGAAACACATGGCTAAACGTACAGCTCTCATTGCCTGGATGTTGTGTCTGCTCAAGTGGGGCTTTGCTGTGTTGGACTTCAGTGTTAGCTTACAAAAATCCATACTTTGGGGTATTTGAAATTGCTGCCCCTGAAACTGGCAAGTCCTTGTTGACAAATGTGGGTGCAGAAATATTCTGTACTCTTTACTGCTTGTAGCATGCTGGAAGGTATTTTCTAAGCAAATACCGGCCATGCCCCGAAGAGTTTGTGTACCAGTGAACCCTGCCAAGCACCAGTTACAGCACATTGCTGCCCCTTGCTCGTCTGCGTAACCATCGTGTGGCCAGACACCTTAGTAGATGTGCGTGTCCCCAGCTGAGGTGGTGACACTCGGTGATGAAGGCTTCAGGACCTTCCCCTTGCCTGCCTTGGTGTGGCTTTGAGGACAAATCTCTACCCTCTTATCTTTGTTTCTCATTCTTGTTTCAGCTGCTGCTTGTCAGGACCCCAGACCTTTGCATACAAAGCATGGGGGTTTATTCCCCAAAGCAAGTTAGTCTGGGAGGTGGGGTTTTGCTGTGGTGGTCTTGGTTCCTCCTTGCTCTTCAGCTGTCTGGGAGGTGGAAACTCCTCTGGCTATTCCGGTGGCTGGCGAGGAAAGTTAGCATTGATAGCATGCAAAATTCCATTTTAATAAGGGCAAAGCGGGGCAGGACTTCATTGTCCTGCTCTATGCCACCGCTGGGGTGGTTATGTCTCCAAGGAGCCCAGTGGAAGGTAGAGCATCTAGCCTTCTGCTAGCCAGCCTCACCATTCTGGAAAAAAACTGTAAGCTGAAGGAATCTCAGGCCCTGGGGCTGTGTGTCTCCCCAAGAGGGGCCTGAGGTTAAATGTTACAGCCAACTTAGTCCTGTCAGCCACCATGGAGAAGAGCCTGCATTTCCCTTGACCTCCAGTTCTTCTGCACTATTTGGAGTGAGTCTCTCCTATCAGCCAGGGTTTGTAGCACTGTTGTGAAGGGGAAACCTCTGTCTGCCTGCCAGGTGTCAGTGGGCGGATAAGGTGTTTCTTACGGTCTCTTCTTATTTCTGGGAAACTCAGAACTTCACCTACTGATGCTCCCAGGACTTTTCCTGTTGCCTGAAGGTGCAATCTCAGCAGCTCATGATGGGGTGAGCCAAGCTAGCTGCAGCCAGAGAGACCTGTGGTTGGGGGAGAAACCTCCTCTTGTTAAGAGCAAAGTGGTTTGTGATCCAATGGAAGAAAGTGATGGAGGGAACTGTTAGGAAGGAGACCAGGGTGTTAAATTCAGCATGAAGATATGGCTTCAGGTCTCTACTACTTCTGGTTGAACATCTGGTCTGGGACCTGCTCTTTTGAGTGCTTCATGTGTCCTTGTGCCATCAGTGGAGGAAAACAGGCACTTTTAGCTCCTCTCATCCTAAACCAACCTCTGCATGGGACATGTCTCTGCCTCAGCCACACTGTCCACAGCACAGCTGGATGTTATGGTGAGGTAAGGGCCTGTGGACACACAGTGCAGGCGAGCAGGGTCCTGCCCCAGGAGACACTAAGCCATATCAGCGGCTCCCCATGGGAATTGTTTGGCTTCATGCTGGGCCTATTTGGAACATAAGTTTCCAAAGGCAGCTGGGAAAAGGGTGTCCAGGGCTCAGCCCTTTGAGGAGGAAAGTAAGGAGGCATGTGGAGGCAGGTCATCCTCATCCCAGCTGCTTGGTTCACTTTGGTCCCCTTGAAAAGTACCTGCCTCGCATGCTGTCCTGGGGCTGCAGACAGCAGGAGAGCCCATACTAGGGGCAGCGTGAGGTCCTTTGGGAGCATCCCTCAGCATCTGGATAGACAAGGCGTACCGGTGTGACTCCTTGTTTATCTCTCCCAGACACCCCACTTGGTCAACCTGAATGAGGACCCGCTCATGTCTGAGTGTCTTCTCTACTACATCAAGGATGGGATAACAAGGTGAGGGCCAGGTCCTGTGGAGCAGTGGGAACCTAGCCTACATCTTGGTGCCTGACTTGCTGGGTGGGCAGCTGGGTGACAGCTGTCCCCAGGCTGGGCACCATTCTCAGGCCATCCCCAAAGTGCCATAGCCATGTGGGAAAAACATATTTGAGTATAATCTTGTTAGGGATGTTGGTCCTGCTGTGTACCAAGGGCTGCTCCTGTCAATCCCAAGGATGGTTTTGGGGGGAGGCCCTGGGAGGGGCTGCTTTAAGGAAGATTCAGGCTTGGGTTTCTCCCTGGCAGGGTTGGCCGGGAAGATGCCGAGAAGAGGCAGGACATCGTTCTCAGCGGGCACTTCATTAAGGAAGAGCACTGCCTTTTCCGCAGTGACAACAAAACCAGTGGTGAAGGTATTCCTTGTCTGGAGGGGCTCCACCTCCCCACAGACCCTAATCCCTCTGCATGTCCCCAGAACCTGGCCACAGGCAGTGGTCCTGCCCTCCTCAGACTAGGGGGCCAATCCTGCATAGCCGTGGCCTCTCCATACTTTCAGAGTGAGACCTAGCTGGGAGGGAAGCTCATGCAAGGCATGTGGAAGCTGCCATGGTAAGCAAGCCAAAGAGATCAGGGTGGGACAGAAGAGCAGACCATAGCAGAGAAGGAGCAAAGACCACACCACAAACCAGCAGGAACTTGAGGGTGAAAGGGCTTTGGGAGACAAGCCTGGGGAGGCTGGAAATGCATGCTGGAGGCTCTTATCTCCTCTCACATCCAGTCTCCAGCTGCTTTTAGTCGTTGGGACTGCTCTGATTAACCCAAGGGTGGCCAAGCCCTGTTGGTTGCCTGGGGTGTGAGTGCTGCCAGTGGGTACCCTGGTGTCCCCTTACTTCATGCCTGGGGTGCTGGCTGGGGCAGCTTACCCTTTCTGAGCCTGCAGGAGCTGTGGAATAAGGGACGCAGGATTTATCCCTCTACTTCCAACTTATCTTTTGTTCCTCTTTTCCCCTCTGGCTGTTTCTCCAGTAATAGTGACCCTGGAGCCCTGTGAAGGTGCTGACACTTACGTGAATGGCAAAAAGGTGACGGAGCCCAGCATCCTGCGCTCAGGTGGGTCCCCACAGCTGGCATGCCAGCATTGCTCTAACCCACCTCCCTCTGTCTCACAGGGGCCCTGCACTAAACCCATGCCCTTTCTCCCCTCATGCATCCCTGTAGGAAACCGCATCATCATGGGGAAGAGCCATGTCTTCCGCTTCAACCACCCCGAGCAGGCTCGGCAGGAGCGGGAGCGGACCCCGTGTGCCGAGACCCCAGCTGAGCCTGTAGACTGGGCTTTCGCCCAAAGAGAGCTGCTGGAGAAGCAGGGCATCGACATGAAGCAGGAGATGGAGCAGAGGTGAGGGCACAGGGGTTGCGGTAATGAGGAGTCGGGTATCCACCTCCAGGTTGGTCATACTCCTTCTCCATTCCTCTCAGGCTCCAGGAACTGGAGGACCAGTACCGGAGGGAGCGGGAGGAGGCAAACTACCTTCTTGAGCAGCAAAGGCTGGTAGGTGTCCAGGATCTTGCTCCTTCTTAGGCTCTTCAGGCATGTCTGAATTCATGGAAGATGTTTGCAAGGGTTGGTTCTGAGTGTCCTAAAAATAAGGGCAAACCTGTTGTTCCTGGGGTTGTCCCCATAAACACGGATCCAGAGGAGGAAGGATGCCAGGTTCCTCTGGGGCGGGGAGCAGGGGGAGAAGCACTATGTGGCTGCATGGAAGGAGGTCACACCTTGTGGGCTGCATCATCCCTCTCCCTGCTTCCCCCAGGACTATGAGAGCAAATTGGAGGCTTTGCAGAAGCAGATGGACTCTAGGTATTACCCTGAGGCAAATGAGGAAGAAGAAGAACCTGAGGATGAAGGTAAGGGCTATGTGCCGCCACAGGGTTTTGATGCTTTCTGCAGAAGAGTGGACTGTGGGTCCCCTGGGCACCTCTGTGCCAATATGCTCCCTCCCAGTGGTGGGGTGACTGTCCCTCTGTGCCCCCACAGTGCAGTGGACGGAGCGGGAGTTTGAGCTGGCCCTCTGGGCCTTTAGGAAGTGGAAGTGGTACCAATTCACCTCCCTCCGTGACCTGCTCTGGGGCAATGCCATCTTCCTCAAGGAAGCCAATGCCATCAGTGTGGAGCTGAAGAAGAAGGTGGGTGCCTGGAGCTCCTCTCTGGCTTGCTGCAGCACCAATGGCAGAAGCCAGAAGCATGGGCAGCTAGGGAAATGCTGAGGAAGAGCTTACTGCTCCTGGAGCTTGCTGTACTCACAGGTGGCTCACTGTCTCCCTCTACCCCTCTTCAGGTCCAGTTCCAGTTTGTTCTCCTCACGGACACGCTGTACTCACCTCTCCCTCCTGACCTGCTGCCTCCTGATGCTGCCAAAGACCGGGAGAAGCGGCCATTCCCCCGGACCATCGTGGCTGTAGAGGTGCAGGACCAGAAGAACGGGGCAACGCATTACTGGACCCTGGAGAAGCTGAGGTGGGTGAATGATGCCCACACCAGGGAGGGCTTGGATGGCTTCAGCCCGGTTTATCACTGCTGCCCACTGCATTCCCCTCTGCCTGCAGGCAACGCCTGGACCTGATGCGTGAAATGTATGACCGTGCAGCAGAAGTGCCTTCCAGTGTCATTGACGACTGTGACAACGTGGTGACTGGCGGAGATCCTTTCTATGACCGCTTTCCCTGGTTCAGGCTGGTGGGCAGGTGAGCACTTCTGCTCCTTGTTAAGCACAGCTGGGACCCGCAGGCAGCCTGCAGGAGGAAGCGCTGCTGGCATTCACCTCTCTGGGGCTGTGCGCTGGAAGGATGTGTTGTCCCCACACAATGGTGGTCGGGGCCCATACTGTCTGCGATGGCTCTCCTCCGCGTTGGCTGCTGGGACCCCGAGGGACCTGCAAGCCCCTGACAATGCTCCTGCTGCCTGCCCTAACCCAGTGCTGTGAGACATGGGCTCTTGGCTTGCTGACAGCGGGAGGTGGGGGACCCGCAACTGTCCAGCAGGCCAAGAGCCTGTGTTGTTGTGACCTCTGCGAACATGAGCACGTGTTGGTGTTGAGTATCTGTCTGTCTGGTATGTGCCGCGTGTCTCACTGCACCTCCCGCATGCTGGTTAGAAGGGTGCCGTGCCAGCAACAACGATGGGCTACCCTGGAGAGTGGGTCTGCCTTGGCGGGCAGGGGGAGCAGGGGGCTGAGCCGCATGCACGTGGAGAGATTCCCTTTGGTGGCAGGGGTGGCAGCGAGCCTCAACAAGGGGAATCCCCACAGTTTGCACCAGTTCCTTGGCTCACTCTTTTCTCCACCCTTTATAGCTGACGGTGGTTGGTGGCTTCCTTTTGGAGACACACTGGATGGGCAGGTCTTCCTGACGTCCCTTGCTTTAAGCAGAAAAACCCACTCACCCCAAAACCTAACCAGGAGAAAAACAAAACGACCTAGAAAAAAACCCAAAATTCCTTTTCTTGCTCTCTCTGTTTGGAACAGCTGGTGTTAACCTGTCTTCTATCTTGTTGTACTAACCTTAGTTCAGATATCTCTGGCTGCAACAGCTCTCCTCTTTTCAACACATGCATGAGCGAGCGCATGGCTGATCTCACCCCCTCCCCTACCTTCTCGAACCCCGACTCCGACATCACCGAGCCTGCTGACGAGCAGCACCAGGGGCAGGAGGAGGAGGAGGAGGAGGCGGAGGACCTGGAGGAAGACATCTTTCCGGAGTGCCCACTGTGTGATGGCCGGGATCCGTTTTACGACCGCTCCCCCCTGTTCAGTTTAGTAGGAAGGTTGGTGAGGTTTTAGGAGAGCATGCCGGGAAGGAACTAGCTCTTTCGCATGAGAGAACTGCTTTCGGACATGACTCCCACCTCCAAGGAGTGCTGGAGGTGCAGGGGGTGGGTGGCCAGCTGTCCGGGATTGCTGCCAAGCCTGGGGCACCCAATGGGGCAACAAGTTGCCCACCGAGGTAGGGCTGTGACAAGCATTGAAGCAGTAGGGGAGAGCAGGAGGAGTCAGATAACATCAACTCCACTGGAGACCCTCTAGGCAGGTTCCTCTTTGGGCAGCCCCCACAAAGGGAAGCTCTCCTGCATCTCTGGCACTGAAGCAGCCAGTAAAGCTGCATGGTGGTCTTGGTCTTGGGTACTTTTGTGGACCTGGCCCAGGGTGACTCCCTGCAGTGCTGCTGGCTGGGGACAAACAGGCATTTTGAAGCCATGCATGCCTCTGGCACTGGCTTGGCCATCTTGGCTAAGTTGGTCAGTGTGACCCCCCCCCCCAGACATGAGGCTTGGATGTCCCCAGGCAGTTGAGGACAAAGCTGATGGGTGAAAGGGTAGACCAGGGTGCAGGAGGGAGAGGAGGACTCTGAAAAGAGGTGTTTTCTCTCACTGCATGTACCCAATGCTTGGCTTGCGGCCATCCCTGCCAACTTGGAACAGGAGATGTTCAGGAAGGCCATGGGGACCTCGGTACAGGCTCCAACTCTTCCTCAGCTCCAGCCAAGAGCAAGAGCTTTGAGTTTTCATACCTGTTGGCCAGGAGATGCCTGTGAGCTCCATCGGTCTTAGCCTATAGAAACTTACCAGCTACCAAATCCAGTCTAGATCTGCCTATCCCCAAGATGGGATGTGGTTGCTGCCAGCTCTGCTCCAGGGTTTTCCCAAGATGATGTGTGCCCAGAGCTCGTCTTGGAGCCTCTGACCCATGCAGGAGCAAGAGGGTGTCATGACAGTGAACCTCTCCCTCTTGGGGCTGTTCCAACTGGGGTGGAGCTGCAGCAGTGGAACTTTCTTCCTTGGTGTGCTAAAGCCAGGCTCAACCCTGCCAGGCAGAGTATGAGCAGTGAGGTGGGGAGGAGCAGGGCCAGTGTAGGCAGAGAGGGCGGAGGTGGGATAAGAGTCCTGCAGCCTCAGACCGAAAGAGCTGGGTTCTTCCCCTTTTTTTTTCCTTTTTCCCTTATTTTAAAAAACAAAACGACCAACACATCAAAAAACCCCCAAACTCTTGGGGGTGCTTCAAAACAACCAAACAAGGCCCTGTGGCAGCAGCCCCACTCCATGCCGGGGACACATTCCCTGGAGCTTGGCGCATTCCGACTTCTTTTGAGTCTGCCCTGGGTTTGGCTCTCCACGCAGCAGCTCCGCCGGCCACATTTCTTGTGAAGTGTGCTTGGATTGGTTTATGATTGGATCCTTGTATTTGATTTTTTCCCCTTTCCTTTTTTTTTCCTTTAAGGTTTTTGGTTTGGTTTATTTTGGTTTGGTTTGGTTTTGGTTTTTTTTAGCTGCTGGCTCTGTCTCTCCAAAGCTTTAGCTAAAATTGGGGTTATTTCACTTTTGTCTTCCTTTGGAAAGGCTTTTCTTTGGTCTGAGCATGCCATCTTTGCACCTCACCAATCTTGTGGTTAGTGTCCCTGCCCTCCTTCCTCTAGTGACACACGTGTCCCCCTCCTCCTTCCCTCCCCCTCTTCCCTCCCTCTCTTTCCTCCCCCCTCCACCTCCTTGGCTTCAACACCAGGTGCCCTGCTGTTTCAGGACGGTGGGTGCACCCAGATCCATGCACTTCCAAGACCTATCCATGGCCACAGGGCCACACGAGAAGCCCTGGCCCACTCCAGCCACCTGTCCCTGGTGGCCTCAAAGACACGGAGTGAGATTGCCCCAGCAGGAGACAGTGATGAGGCATCGCCTTTGCTTCAAAACGTGAATCCTTGGAGATGATTTGGGTGGAAAAAGCCTCACGCAGCGGTTGGTAGTCAGTGGGATTCACCAGAGCAAGAGGGAACCTCCAGAGTCTGGGGCTTGGGCTGCAAGTATGGGGCTGAGGCCTCCTGCAAGAGCCCACTGGGCCACCTTTGGGTGCTGTTGGATGTCTGCAATGATGTCTGCAAGGAAGAAAGCACTGCCAGGTGCCTGGAGATGCAGAGAAGCAGAAGTGTCCTGGCTGGCCCCATGACACCTGAAGACACTGCATGTCAAGACGTTGGTGGGTGCCCTGGGGAAGGGTGCCAGGCACCCCGCACCCTCTTGCTGGGAAGAGTAGTTGGCACCACTCAGCAGGGAGCTTGATGCCAAAGGCTATGTAGGTGACTTGTCACTGCTGAGGGCATGGCAGCCACCATCACCAGAGTGCCAGGAGCCAGTTGAAGAGTGAGCCAGCTGGCGGGGAGGTTGAAGAAGGCAGCAAGAGGAGTCAAAACGTGAGAAACAGGGAGCTGCAGCCTGACAGGAGTTGTCAGCAGCAACATGGGGCAGCTGTCACATCATGCTGAGTCCCAATGTGGCCCCTTGCCTGTGATGTGCTGGTGTGAAGCCTGGGGTCCTGAAGCCATACACGAGAAGGGATGGGGTCAGGGGGACACATGCCACCAATGCTGCCAGCCATGTCGTGCAGCAGGGCAAAGCCACCAGCAGTCCGCAACACTGCGGGCAGAGCAGGCTCATCTCTGGAGGCTTCTGGCCTCCAGCCAGGACCTCCCCCTCTCCTCTCCTTCGCACCTGCTGGTCTCTACCTCCCTCATCACCCTCCTTTCCCCCACCCCGCCTTGCCCCTGTCCCCCTCGGTGATTCCGCAGCTGCCCCCAAGCCATGTCGCAGCACCTCCTGCCCTAGTGCTCCAGCTCTCCACCACAGAGAAGGTCCTCTTCCCTCCCAGCTTCACGGTGGCACCAGCGCAGCCCCCCTCCCCTCCCCGCCCGCCACGGAGGTGACAGCCGGAGAGGTAGGCAAGGCCGGTCTGCTTCGTGGTGCTGCCCATGGCGCGCTGCCCGCTGCCTGCCCGCTGCCCGTTCCCGACCTTTCCTGGCTGGCCCTGGCTGCCTTCTCTTTAGTTTTGCTTTGCAGCGCCGTGGTTGCGCCGTGAGCGGTGACCTGGGATCCCAGCCGGCGCCGGCCATGCCACTGCGCCTGGGCACCCGCGGGTGGGAGCAGTGACCGCTCTCCCCCCCCGTGTTGTGTGTCCCTCCCCCCTTCCCCTCACTGGCAGGGCCTTCGTCTACCTGAGCAACCTCCTCTACCCTGTGCCCCTGGTCCACCGCGTGGCCATCGTCAGTGAGAAGGGCGAGGTGAAGGGCTTCCTGCGTGTGGCAGTCCAGGCCATCTCAGGTAGGAGGGGGACCCCCCCCAAACATGTGCCCCTCACATCCCCCACACCCCCCGTGCTGGCTGACCCCCATCCCTCCTCCAGCGGATGAGGAAGCCCCTGACTATGGCTCTGGCGTGCGGCAGTCGGGGACGGCCAAGATATCCTTCGATGACCAGCACTTTGAGAAGGTATGGTGGCAGTTGGCTCTTGGTGGGTGCCTGGGTACCACAGACCTCTTGCCTGCCATGGCAGCACTCCCTCATGGGGACCACCAGGCTCCTAGAGGTGCAGGCATCACCCTGCTCTTGACTGTGTCCTAGGGCAGGTGCTGTGGGGTGGGTAGCTGGAGATGCCGTGCTGCTCAGGGCAGTGATGGGCTGTGTGAGCAGAGCCACCCTGGACAACACCATCATCCCTTAGCCCCACAGTGGAAGGTGTCCCTGACATTGGCAGGGGGGTTGGAACTGGATGATCTTTAAGGTCCCCTCCAACCCAAACCATTCTATGATTCCATGATTCCTGGTGCAGTTCCAGTCAGAGTCATGCCCAGCTGTGGGGATGTCTCGCTCGGGGACCTCCCAGGAGGAGCTGCGCATTGTCGAAGGCCAGGGGCAGGTCAGCGACGTGGGTCCCTCTGCTGATGAGGTCAACAACAATACCTGCACAGGTGAGGGGGTGCTGACAAGTGGCTGGGGAGCAGCCTCCTCTCCTGACACCCAGCCTCTTCCACCCACCTGAGCATCAAAAGCCCATTGCCCTAGTGCAGGGCTGCTGGCAGATGCTGGGGGGTGCGATGCCTCACCTTACTGAGGACTTACTGAGGACCCTTCCCTCCCTGCAGTGACACCAGAGGACCTTCTCTTGGACAGCCCAGAGAAGTCCGTGTCAGAAGGGCCACTGGAGACGGCTCTGGACCACTTGAAGCTGGGCAGCATGTTCACATTCCGCGTGACAGTCTTGCAAGCCTCCAGCATCTCTGCAGAATACGCAGACATCTTCTGCCAGTTCAAGTGAGTCCCCTATGCCCCTCCAGCCCTACATCTCCCACTGTGCTCTGGTCATTGCCTTGGGGTGGTGATGAATGTAGGGGAGCCCCAGAACCTCTGAGCCCTTCAGGGATGGGAGGCAAACCCAAAGGCTGTGGGATGAGCCCATGCACTTGTCTGGTACCTTCTCTGGTTTCTGGAGAAAGACAGGGAGAGGCTCCCACCAGGTTCGAGGGATTCTGTGCCAGCCTAAGGTATTGAGGGGAACTCTTGTCCTAGTCTCTTCCGTCTCTCTCCTCCCTGCTCCAGCACATCCCTATCCCACAGCTCCTGAGTCTTTCCTTCCCTCTGCAGCTTCATCCATCGCCATGACGAGGCCTTTTCAACAGAGCCCTTGAAGAACACAGGACGGGGGCCGCCATTGGGCTTCTATCACGTCCAAAATGTGAGTACCTCTGCCCTGCCCACATCCCCTCACCCCTATGGCTGCTATGATCTCTGCAGGGCTGTTGGCTGGATCTTCTCCCCAGAGAAGATAGTCAGAGCTGCCTAGCTAAGCCAGCCTTAGACAAAGTGGATGTGTGGGGCAAAGAGCAAAAGCCTGCCACCCCAAAAGGCTGGGATTTCACGACAGTGGTCTTTGTGGGAAGAGCATCACTGAGACACAAGGAAGGGGGTGGGTGAGGGTTGCAGGGGATCGGACAGGCTTGCACCCTTCCACTTCCCCAGTGCTGTTGCTGGCTGCATCCCTTTCCCAGCTGAACTGTGCTGTTGATGGCTCTTTCTCTTCTAGATTGCTGTGGAGGTGACCAAATCCTTCATTGAATACATCAAGAGCCAGCCTATTGTATTTGAAGTCTTTGGGCACTACCAGCAGCATCCCTTCCCACCCCTCTGCAAGGATGTCCTGAGGTGGGTGCACCCTGGGCTGCTCCAGCCGCTGGGTGCCACTAGAGCACCTGCTACAGCTGGCTTCCTGGGGACCTGGAAAAGGGGGCTAGGTGGTGGGAGGGGGTGGCCCTGGGGTGTAGATGAGGTTGGCTGGTTCAGGGGTCCTTGTGGATGCTTTAACTGAGACAGTTCTCTCTCCAGCCCACTGAGGCCATCCCGGCGCCACTTGCCCCGTGTGATGCCACTCTCCAAACCAGGTAGGGGATTTGGCCTCATGCTTCTCTGCCCACCCATAGTCCCTGTGCTGGGTACAGTGTCCCCTTCCCTAAGGGAACCAGTTAGGACCCCAGGGCACCACAAAACGTACTGTGGACCAAAATGTACTACCACCAGGGATACCCTAAAGGCCTGCTCCCATTCCTGCATTACCCAGATGATACAAATCCCCCTTCCCACCTCCTGTGGAATCTCAAGGAGGAGGCTACCCACCCTGGATGGCTCAGCAAGGGGTCAGCAAGGTCCCTGAGATGGGGCTGTCCCCCTCTATGCACTCCCTCCTTCCTTGCTGCCACCTCCATGTGTCTTCCTGTGGCCCCTGCCTGCTCTGCCCGTATCCTGCCTGCCATCAGACAGTCCAGATGCCAGCAGCAAGATCACCCTTTAAGCTGTCTTTCCAACTTGCCATAGTGCCTGCAACGAAACTGAGCACCATGACTCGGCCCAGCCCTGGCCCATGCCAGTGCAAGTATGACCTGATGGTCTTCTTTGAGATCTGTGAGCTGGAAGCCAATGGCGAGTAAGTCCTGCTGGAAAGGGGAGTGGGAAGGAGAGGGAGGTGGCACAGTAATTTGGTCAGTGCTTGACACCTCTGCACAGGCTGATGGGGTTCTGTGTCATGCCGTGATCCTCTCTTCCAGCTACATCCCTGCTGTTGTGGACCACCGTGGAGGCATGCCATGCCATGGAACCTTCCTCCTCCACCAGGTACTCCATCCCTGAGATGCTGTTCTGGGTCTAACTCCTGCTAGGAGCTTTGTTAACCTCTATCCATTCTCTCTGGTCTTGCGGGTCTCAGGGCATCCAGAGGAGGATCACTGTCACCTTGGTGCATGAAACAGGCAGCCTCATCCGCTGGAAGGAAGTGCGGGAGCTGGTTGTAGGTAAGCCAAGCTAGGTTGGATAGGCTGTGAGCAACCCCCACCCCACCGAGCTCCCAAGCATCCTCTTGGTCTGTTTCTCACCTGTGTTCCTATGTGGAGCTTTTGCACCTGCCTTGTCTCCTCTCCTGCCCCACAGTAGCAAAGCTACCAGAAGGTGACACTGGGACATAGTGTGGGCAGGATGCCTTGGTCCTGGGTATCACATGCAAGAGCTGTATTAGGGCTTCTGGCACCAAGTGGACAAGAACTGGGAGGCTGCTGTTTATAATGGGGGGGTTACTGGGGCGATGCAAACAGGTGAGCTGCCCATGCCCCTCATGGGGACCCTCACAGGGCCACTTCCTGTAACCTGAGAGGCATCCTGTAAGGGTGGTGAGGCACTGGAATGGGTTGCTGATGGAGGTTGTGAATGCTCCATCCCTGGCGGTGTTCAAGGCCAGGTTGGACAGAGCCTTGGGTGACACGGTTTAGTGTGAGGTGTCCCTGCCCATGGCAGAGGGATTGGAACTAGATGATCTTAAGGTCCTTTCCAACCCTAACTATTCTATGATTCTATCCCTGTGTTACACTTGCAGGTCGGATCCGGAACACCCCAGAAGCAGATGAGTCTCTCATCGACCCCAACATCCTGTCCCTGAACATCCTCTCCTCTGGGTACATCCACCCCTCCCAGGATGACCGGTGAGTGCTGCTGCTTCTCTTGTTCTTCCTGCACTGTGGTGAGGGCTGGAAGGGGAGACATGGGGAGCCTCTCAGTCCCTCTGGAGGGTCCTGCTGACCTGTTGCTGCCTTGGGGGGTACTTTTCTGGAGCTGCAGAGGGTCTTGGGGTTCAGGGTTGCCAGACTCCTCCCTCCTTCTCCCCAAGGCCTCCCTGCACTAGGCTTTGGCATGAAAGGGAATTTGGGCGGTGATGCTGCTCTCTGTTGGTGGCTGTAACTGCCTGGCACATAGAGCCGGTTGGTACTGCTGCCAGGAGGATGTACCAACTCCGTGGCTGGAGAGGACCTGCCATGAAGGGTTATTTGTCCCATGTCCCAGCAAACTCACAGGAAAGGCCACTTGGTGCCCATGGCAGGTCCCTGTCTGTGCGGGAGTGATGCAGGAAAGCCATCCCTCACGGGCACCGGGGGATGCCAGTGGGTGACCTTGGCGATGCCTGTCCTGGGGGACTGTGTTCCCACTGTGGGTTTGGCAGGGCTGTGGGAGCAGCAGGGCCAGAAGGGTTTTATCTCTAAAGACCTCTCTGGCTGGGTCCTGTGGTGGTGTGAGGAACCAGTGGGTGCAGAGAGCAAAACTCTCCTCTGAACCAGGGCTGCTGGCAAAACTCAGGAGGCTGGCAGGGGTCCCTGGCCAGAATGCGTGTGTGCAGGTAGCTGTGACAAGACAAGGTTGGTCATTGGCATCACCGGGAGCAGCAGGGACCGGTCCTGGGCTGTGCATATGGCGGTTTCCAGTGTAGGAGCATCCTGCTGGGGAGTGGGAAGCACTTTTCTCCTTTTTTCTTTGGGGTCACTGCTGCATCAAGATGACGTGTCCATGACGTGTCCTGTGGCAGGGTGTTTTTGGGCTGGGATGATAGGGGTCTGGGCGGGAGGTGCCACCATGCAGTGATCCCAGAGCTGCTTCTGGACATGGTGGGTGACAGGCATGCAGTGCTTGGGCAGCAGAGCCACACCATGGGGTCAGATATGCGTGGAAGCAGTGGACCAAGAAACTTTGGCAAAGCCATGGGGACAACAGCAAGGTCGGGTGGGGACTGTTGGGCAAGGAGGGCCTGGCCAGGCAAAGCTGCAGTGGTTTCTGGGCTGCTGGGAGCTTGGTGGCTGTGGCACCTGTGGGCTCCTGGGGCCGCCCTGTTTTATGTCAGCTCCTGACCTGGCCCGTTGATCCCAGGATTTGCAAGAGCCTGCCTCACCTGTGCTGTCAGTGGGTCTGTGCCTCAGGGCCAGCCCCAGTTCGGCTGCAGACCAGTATGCATGCCATGTATTACCCGTCCTGTGAGCCTGTCTAGGGCCAGGCAGGGGGAGGAGTGGGCAGCCGGCTTCCTGCGGGATGCTGAGGGGCCCTCCCCGCTTCCATCCTGCATGCAGGCGTGCATGCCTTAGCCCCACCAGCCTGCTAGGACAGGCAAAGAGGGGACAGCAGGCAGAGCCAGGGCCCGCTTCACCTTCCTTCCCGACTGCTTGTGCTCCCTGCTTTGCTGCCTTATGCCGTGCAGCCTCCTTTGCCCAGAGCAGCCCTAGCTCCCCTCCCCATCCCAGCCTTTCCGGTTCCCTGGAGCTACTCAGGAGACCAGAGAGCAATATGGCTCACTCCCCAATACCCATCCATCCCTGCATCGAGCGCCCAGGGAGGAGTTGTGGGGGGCAGCCCCCAGGGTCCCCCCTTGCTTCTCTCTGCTGCTGCTGCCCATCAGAGCCCACACTAACCATGTGATTGTTTTGTGTTTTCACAGGCAGTTTCTTGATTCGGATATGCCTAGGTATTATTTGTTTCCATTGATTTTTTTTCCACCCTCCCTTCTTTCTTTCTCTCCCCTCACCTTGGTGCACTTACTCCGGCCGGAGGCAGCACTTGGACATCCAGCCCCCCATCCCTCTACATGCCCCATCCTTTCTCCCTCCCATCCTGGCACCTCTTGCTCACCAGCCTCTTTTGCTGTTTGTTTGGGCCGCGCTCTCGCTGGCTGCTGCTCCCCTCGCACGCCTGCGTCCCCATCGCCTGATTTGGGTTTTGGTTTATTTCTTTCTTTTTGACTTCACTGCTGTCTCATCTCTTTGGCATCGGGTGCTAAGTGTGCCGCTCCCCCGTTGCCTCCCACCTAGGTTCAGCCCCCAGCACCACTCGGAGTAGCTGCAGGGCTGGTGTAGACCATGGTGGGAGCTTCAGGCCACCTCCAGTCCTTCCCTGGGCACCTGGTGATGACCACTGGGTGCACAGTAGACTTGTGGGTGAAGATGTGGCATATGGGTGGTGTTGTGTTTGTACGTAGGTGCAATGGTGGGTACACACACACTGTAATGTGGCATAGACTGTTGTACCCCTGTGTAATGGTGGGGATCGGCTTCTGAGGAAGGTGGGGGCTTCAGCTGGGACTGCAGTGTGAGCCTGGTGTATGGGTGTATGGGTATGTGGTGTATGGGCAAGAGCCAACAGATCCAGATGCTGCTGCCAGCCTCTGGATGGAAGCATCACCAAGGCCCCAGAGGAGGGAGTCCTATGGTAGATAAAGAGATGAAGATGCGGCTGGGAGACAGGGGTTGGGGTCTCCTGAGTCCTGGTGGGCTCCATAACTTTGTAGCTGGGAAGTTGTCCTTCCTTCATCAGCTAGAAGCTGGTCCTGCTTGGAGATGCCTGGGGGCAGATCTGTCCCTCCGTCAGTATCCCAGGATGCAGGAGGATGGATCCAGCATGGATACAACCCCTCTACTTCAGGAGATGTGGGGTCATATTGGCATTGCCTGTGGGCTGTTGGTACAGTGATGCTTTCCCTGTGGACCAGGGACGGGCCAAGAAATCTCCTGCTGTGTGGGTACCATGAGGGGCACCTTTCTGAGGGGCTGCGCTGGTAGCAGCAGCTCCTTGCCCTGGAATGGCAGCGAGGGCAGGGTTAAGGGGATGTGGAGCACATGTGCTGCTTCCCAGCTGCCAGACTGCAAGGAAGGTGGGTGGCAGAGGGTTTTCACCCATGCAGGTAAACCTCTGACCTTGCCAAGCTCCTTCTCGGCTATGATTCAGCATTCGGCTGGGCAGCAGCTACTTTGGCCAGCAGAGCTGACATGGGGTGAGTCCCCTCTAGAGGGGCTCTCCATGGTTGTGGTCCTGCTCCAACGCCAACCCTGTACAGACGATGCTTTCTGACCTTTTGTTTTTCTGTGTGTGTATGTGTGTGTGTTTGTCCTTGGGTCACCTTCCACTTATAGCATTTCGTTCGGAAATGACACTAGGTATTTTGCGTGCACCTGCTCGGTCTGGTCCCACCTGCTTTTCTCTCTTTCTCCTTTGCCTCCCTTTGCTTTTTGCTCTTCCCCCCCCTCCCCTGAGGCTCCTATTCTCCTCCTCCCTGGGGAGCACTGCCTTCTCAAGTGACCTGTGTCTGAAAAGTGATCCTTCGCCTTGGCTCTGTCTCATGTGGGTTTTTTTAATGTATTTTATGCACCTTCTGAAAGCGTCGCTCTCCCTCTTCTTCCTACACGGGGGCAATTGCAGCTGAGAGCCTCTCCCTGCTCCCTCTGGCTGCCCTGGTTCATGTTCAAAAAGCCCCTCAGCCACCTGGGTGCTGTTCAGGGATGTGCTGAAGCATCCTCATTGAGACATTGCTGCTTTTTGACGATGCTGAGGCAGGAGCCAGGGCTGCAGCAGTGACAGGTGGCTTTGGGGAGTGGGTGTCCCATAACCCAAGGCTGGCCCAGGTGGCAGCCCAGGAGCAGGGCAGGAGGTGAAACAGGGATCCCCCATGCCTCCTGCTTCCCCCACTCGTGACTGCTTGACCTGAAGAGGCTGGCAGCCGCTCTTGCTCTAGGTGGCTTTGCCATCCTCTATGGGACCCCATAGGCACTGAGCAAGTGGGGCTAGGTGTCCCCTGCTCCTTCCCCCAACCTGGGAATGATGGAAAACCAAGCGAGGAGAGTGAGGCAGCCTGGTGGGAATGGGGCTGGTGATGAGGGGAGAGCAAGAGCTGAGGGAGACAGCCCAGCAGGGGCCAACTAAAAAAATATGGTCCCTGGGTCTTGGTGGGGCTCAGGGCTGGCAGGTGGGGCAGCCCTGGGGAAGGGAACTTGGCTGGTATCGGACTCCCCAGGGCTGAGCATCCTCCCTCCTCTCCCTTCTGGCCACCTGAATGGTGACAGCTGCTCCTGGCGGGGGCTGGGAGGTGCTGTGTGCCGTGGGCTGGATAGTGGGGACCTTGCCTAGGTGTGCTGCTGTGGCAGACCCCACTCTGAGCATGGCGGTGGGGCATGCACCCTTCTTTGCCCTCCTTTGCCTTCCCAGCCTGCCCTGCCTTGCCTGCACCCCAGCTGAGCCCCCACTCCTCCCACAGTCCCTCCTCCCCAGAACCCCGGCCTCCTGGCCATGTCAAGGGTGCCACATCCCCTTCCTGCCACAACTTGTCCCCCTTTGCCTTGAGCCTGTGTCCTCTGGAGTGGCTGTCCCCATCTGTCCCTGTGGTGTGTGCATGTCCATGTGTCCTTGCAGGCCTTGCTGCAGCGGGGGACAAAAGCATCTCCTTGCTCTCTTGCCTAGGGTTCTGGGGACATTTTTTTACCAGTTCTGCTATTTTATTTTTGTTGCAGGACTTTCTACCAGTTTGAGGCAGCATGGGATAGCTCCATGCACAACTCGCTGCTGCTCAACCGTGTCACCCCGTACAGGGAGAAAATCTACATCACCCTGTCTGCCTACATTGAGGCAAGGACCTTTGTTGTAGTGCTAACAAAGTCTGGTATTTCCCCTACTGCTGGGATCCAGCCAGTGTAAACCCCTCCTTTACCCTGCACCAATGCTGACAGGGTGCAACCTAGTGCTTGGGGCTCCCGGTGGGACCGCAGGAATGGAAACCACTGGGCACCAGGGGTGGGAGAGACCTGATGGGTTGCCAAGAGACAGTCCCTGTCCCCCCCCATGACACGTTTTCCCCCTGCTCTGCTGCAGATGGAGAACTGCACTCAGCCTGCCGTCATCACCAAAGACTTCTGCATGGTTTTCTACTCCCGGGATGCCAAGCTTCCTGCCTCCCGCTCCATCCGCAACCTTTTTGGCAGTGGCAGCCTACGGGCTTCTGAGAGGTACTGAGAAGCTCCTGCCTTTCTGGGAGAGGAGAGCCATCACCCAGGACTGGGGCCTTTCTGGGGCATTCCAGCAGCCTGGGTGAAATAACGGGGGCATGGGGATGGGATAGAGTTGGTAATGCCTCATCTCCCTTTGACCACAGCAACCGTGTGACGGGAGTCTACGAGCTCAGCCTCTGCCGAGTGGCAGATGCCGGCAGCCCAGGTGGGTGCCATGTCTCTGCCTGGGTGGTCACCCACCACAAGGCTGGCAGGCACAGCATGGTGGTTGGGGTTGGGTCTGTGCATCTGTTCCCCCTAGTATGTGTCTGTCCCCACAGGCATGCAGAGACGTCGCCGGCGTGTGCTAGACACCTCTGTAGCCTATGTGCGGGGAGAGGAGAACCTGGCTGGCTGGCGGCCCCGCAGTGACAGCCTCATCCTTGACCATCAATGGGAGCTGGAGAAACTCAGCCTCCTGCAAGAAGTAAGAGCGTGGGCTAGAAACAGGGTAATGGGGCATGGGACGCATGGTCCCCAGAAGGATGTCAGTAAGGGGAAGGGGCCACCTCTGAGCTGTGATGTATCTGCCCAGGTGGAGAAGACGAGGCACTACCTGCTCCTGCGTGAGAAGCTGGAGACAACCCAGCGCTTGGGCCTGGAGACCCTGTCCACTTGCTCCAGTGAGGACTCTGAGTCCCGAAGCACCTCCTGCGTCTCCTCCCCGCTCTCTGTCGATGGGGCTGCTGAGAACCGCACCTCACCTCCTGAGAGCCCCAGCGAGAGGCAGAAGGAACTGGCTGTGAAGGTACCATCCTGCAGCATTCCCAGCTCACAGGGGTGAAGCTGGGAAGGGGCTCCCATAGGGTGCAAGGGGACTGCGGCAGGAGAAAACCCAAGAGGAGCAGGAGGAGAAGGGTCGAAAAAGGTGCCTCCTATCCTACCCTCTTCCTCCTTTCTCCACAGTGCTTGCGCCTGCTCACACATACCTTCAACAGGGAGTACAGCCACAGCCATGTCTGCATTAGCGCCAGTGAGAGCAAGGTACTGCCAGTGTCCTGGGCTCACCGGGCTGCTGGGGGCTAGGAGGGATGTGTGGCTAAGAGGAGCTGGCTGGGCAAGGGCCAGGTGGGCACTTTGGTGCGAGTGGTCCCTGCTCTGGGGTCCCTGCTCCCTTCACCTGCCCTGGGGTTCCTGGAGCTGGTGGCTCTTGGGACTGTGCCGGGGGAGAGCCCTGCCGGCCAGAGGTCTTGCCTCTCCCTGTATGAGTAGGCACCTGGTCCTTTGCCTGTGCCCAGCTTCAGGCAGAAACTCAAGTCCACACCTCCACTCCTCCACAGCTGTCTGAAATGTCTGTGACCCTGATGAGAGACCCATCCATGCCAGTTCTTGGGGTCACCACTCTTACCCCCTCTTCAACCTGCCCATCACTGGTGGAAGGACGCTACAATGCCATCGATGTCAGGTAAGAAGGTGGCCAGGAGGTTTGGGTGATGTCCCACCATCCCTCAAGCAGGTCAGCTGTACCACTGGGATATGGTCCTGGTCAAAGGGTGTTCCCTAGCTGTCACTCTTCCTACATCCTAGCCTTTCCTCCCTCCCCAGACCCCCCCAAGTCTCTTCCAGAGCAGAGACCCCTGACCTGGAGCCCGCAGTAGAAGGAGAGCAGAAGAAGTCCCCAGGCCACCGGCCTGAGGAGGAGAAGGAGCCCCAGCGTTTGCTGGTGCCTGACATCCAGGAGATCCGGGTCAGGTAGGAGCAACTGGGGCAGCCAGGAAAGGGAACACCTCGGGGTTGAGGGGGGACCATGCCTTACCATTGCCACCTCCTTCTGGTCCATGCCCCACCCTGACCTCGGTCCCTTCTGCAGCCCCATCGTCTCCAAAAAGGGCTACTTGCACTTCCTGGAGCCCCACACCAATGGGTGGGTGAAGCGCTTCGTGGTGGTCCGGCGCCCATATGTCTACATCTACAACTCAGACAAAGACATGGTCGAGAGGGCCATACTCAATCTCTCCAAGGCCCAGGTGGAGTACAGTGAGGACCAGCAGGCCATGCTCAAGGTAGGGCGCCAGGAGCCAGCCCCATTCCACGCACCCACTGGGGCAGGAGACTCATCCATGGCTCTCTCCTGGCAGACCCCGAACACGTTTGCAGTGTGCACAGAGCATCGTGGCATCCTGCTGCAGGCGAGCAGTGACAAGGACATGCACGACTGGCTCTACGCCTTCAATCCCCTCCTGGCTGGGTCCATAAGGTACCAGGGGCAGATGGGTGAAGGGTGGTGCAGAGAAGCTGCTGGTGGGTGGTCTGTGAGCAGCCAAGTGTGCTCCCTGTCTTGGACCCAGTGCTCTCCCTGGTGCAGACCCCTCCAGCCAGATGTGGGGAGCACCTCCTGCACAGAGCTGTGTCTAGATGTGCTCTCAGTTGGCAGAACTAGGCCATGATAATCTTTATTTCAGCTCCTTCTGGCTTAAATTCTTCAATCTAGGGACAGATACTGGCTGGTACAGAGGCATTGTTGTGCTGAGTTCAAAGCGACATTCATTGCTGGCGGCAGGGAGACTGGCCCTTCACTCTTGAGACAATCTCAAGTGGCAAGACTAAGGGAACAGGAGTAAATGCACAGAAATTTGTGTGCTCTGGCTAAAAAGACATTAATGCCATGTCCCTCCAGCTCTGGCTGGATTCAGGTACCAGCCTGGAGCCAGGACACCAAACACAGGGGGACCACACCTCTCCTTGTTCACATCTCTGACACCTTTTTTCCCTTGTTTTCCAAACCAGGTCCAAGCTTTCCAGAAGGAGAACAGCCCAGATGAGAATCTAACCTGAAAAATACCCTTCACCTCATCCGTCTGCCAACAGGATCAAGATAGCTGATTCTGTCTCAAGACTCCCCATGTTAACGTCTGATCTCTCACACCATCTGCTGCCCCAGCTGCCTGCTCCATGGAAGGATCTGTCTCGATTCACACCTTCGCGGAGGAAACTCACTTCCGTTCGTAGCTGCAAAAGCCTCGACCTGCCTGGGCAGGATCTCTTGTGCACGTGCCATCTTCTGCCCATTCCCTCATGGGTGACCTTCATGTCACACCATCTGTAATGCTCCAGAAAGGTCCCTGTCAGAGGGGAGGGAGCGAGGAGGGCAGTTTTGGCTAATAGCTGGTCTTTGATCTACAGGGGTGGGAGTGTGGTAAAGCTTGGAGGTGGGAGAGCAGGAGGAATTGCCTCCACATGAAGGGAAAGGGGTAGTGTAAGTACGAGGATTTCCTAGTTTATTGATGTTTCTGCAAGAGACAGCAGAGTAAGATCAGGTGTCAGTAGTTTAAGATGATATTTATAAAGTATTTATTTCTATTTACATCACAAAAATCCTGTAAGATGAGTCCTGGCCCCTGAACAATGCCTCCCCCAGGCAAGGGAGAGCCTTGGCAGTGGGCTGGGGCCCCAGAGATGCCTCTCCTGGGACATCCCTGGCATGTGCCCGGCAGCAGCGGAGCTCTTGCCCTCGCTTCCTGCCCTTCCCCAACCCTCTGCTTTGCACCCCCCTGCGCTTAAACTACTTCTCCCCTAAGTGGTGGCTGGACAGCCTACCATGTCTTCCCAAAGGAGGCAATTTCTACCTGCCCCATCTACCTCTGGAAAGGAGGAGCCCACCATCTTGGTGGGCTGGAGAATTCCACATCCATGTGGACACGTCACCTCACTTTGGAGCTTGGTCCTGCTGGAGGGAAAAGGAGGGTTCTGGGGATGGCTCTGCCTGTGTGAGCTGTCCTGCCCAAAAGCATGTGGGCCACCTCCATTGTCTCAGCCTAGGAGCCCCTGGGGGCTTGTCCAAAGGGATTCCTCCCCTCTTAGGACAGGACACCAAGGGCCCCATCCCTGCAGGGAGTGTGGAGGTGCAGGTGGCTGCTTCCAACACTGGATGGAAAAGTTCCCCAAGAGCTGAGGCTAGAAATGGCTATTCCAATCCACAGGACCCTCTTTAGCCTTGCCCAAGAGGGCTGTCACATCCCTTCTCCTTCCAGCAGGACAACACGCTCAAAGCAAGTCAGAGGGGCAGGGAGAGGCTGGGGTGGGGGTGTCGAGGTGGGGAAGGGGCTTCTTTTTACTGTTGTATTTGGTGTTTTCTCACTCCTCTTTCCCTGCTGCAGAAGCGAGTGCTCACCTCCTTCCCACCCTGCCTTCATCGGCACGTTAATCCAGGGGGCTTCCCACGGCAGAGGTGGCTTTGCCGAAAGGACCTTCTCCTCCAGCCATAACTTGCTTCCACCTTCCCCAGCAGCAGCTCTCCCTCTCCTCTATCTTCCATCTCTCATCCATTGTGAGGGGGGTAGGATGCTTTCAGCTGGGGCTTCCCAAGCGGTCAGCTGGATCCAGCACAGCTCCCGTCAGGAAGGCGAGCATCTTCCTTCATGTATCCCCCGGGCACCCCCCTTGCTTCGCTGTCACGCCTCTGTGGCTTACCTTTCCTTGCACAGCACGGCTGCGCCTTGGCTCTGCCACACCTCCCCGCACTGTCTGTCTGTGTGTGTGCGCGTGTGTGTGTGTGGGACTTGGTGCTGTCTTCTTGTTACGCTCATGTTGTTGGGGGGCACGGACAGGAAGGGACATGGCAGATGGGCAGAGGCTTGCAGGGACCCCTTCGCTGCACATCAGAGGCCTTTCAGTTTGAGTTTCAGGTGATGGAAAAGGGTTTTGGGATCCTGAGCCCCTGCAGGTTTTGCCCAGCCTTGCTGCAGCTCCTTGGGCATCTCATCCCATTGCTCTGGCCTGGAGCTGTGGCAGGGCTGCTTTTCCTAGCCCTGCTTCCCAGGCAGGTGGCAAATTATCCGCCCCATCAAACTGGGTTATTCCCCGTCCTGTGATCTAGAAGCCAACTTGTGCCCTTTATGGAGGGATAGGTTCTCACTCGGGGGACATGAAGGGGCAGAGCTGCGGCTGGGGTGGAGGAGGGTTCTGGGCTTTGACATCCCAGCAAAGACTAGTTGGTGCCATGCCGTATTTCAGCGTAAAGGGCTAGGGAACACTGGGTGCCCCAGGGGAGAGGGGAGGCTCTACCAGGGCGGAGGCAGCTTCTGGTGGAGACAGGAATCTGCGTCTGCCAGCGACCAGACACAGGTTCCTCAGCCAGGGCTGGGCAGCGCTGCCCGTGCTGCAGGCGAGGGGCGGCTGCGGGGCGGGCACATCCTCCAGCCGGAGCTGAAGCCGAAGCTTTGCCTGAGGCCAGCAAACCTGCAGAGCAGACAGCTCGGCTGAGGGACACGGCGCTGAGGGAGACCCGGCTGGCAGTATCCCTGCGGGATGTCCCCGGCTTTGCAGGCTACTTTTGCCATCTTCCTGGCCCCGCTCTCGCCAGCACCACGCACTCTCCCCGTTATACCTCCCATCCCCTCCTTCACCGCAGCCCCCCCCGGGATGAGGAACGCAAACCTTGATGTATAGGCACGACTGTGAGCCCCATCCGAAGGGAAATCTCACAGGGGACAGTGGCATGGAGGGTGGGCGAGCACCAGCGGGCGGCCCGGGACCTGCTGAGGGGCGTCTGCCCCCCTGTACCCTCTGGTCCCGGCCCTCCCTGCCCGTGCTCGGGGCTGGAGCCTCGGGTCCCGGCCGTCCGTGCACGCGTGAGGCTTGTTCGGTTCTGAAATAAATGTGGCATTTAACGCAGAACAGCCCCGCGCAGCTCCGCTCTCCTTCCTGGGCACGGTGGGTAGGGCGGGCGCCTTCTGCTCGGCGGCGGGGAGGCCCGCACAGGTCCGGGACTCCGGGCGAGGGGGCTGAGGAGCGCATCGAGTACGGGCACACCGGGTACGGGCACACCGGGTACGGGCACACCGAGTACGGGCACACCGGGTACGGGCACACCGGGTACGGGCACCCGTAAACCCGGATACCGGATACAGCCCTCCTCTGCAGCGGCACCTTTCTGCGCCGCTAGGGGGGTACCGCGCTCCCTTCCTGCCCCCTCCAGCGATTGGTTAGGCACAGGAGGGCGTGACATCCCCGCCGCGGGATTGGTCAACCTGGAAAAGAAAGGGAGGGTGCAATGGGATTGATTGGCACAGAGGTCCCGCTTTCCAATTGGCGGAGCAGCGACAGCCCGGGGGGTGTTTGACGGGAGCAGCACCTCCCTCTGCGGGGATTGACAGAGGCCTTTGGGGGGCGGAGCCAATGGCGGCCTTCCGCTCCCGCCCCGTCGAGCGCCTACTTCCGGTCTATCTGCGGTCGCTGATTGGCTGCGAGAGGAGATTGTCAGCCCGAAGAGGCGGGACGGCGCCTGGGCACGGGGAAGCGGCCTTGGCGGCGGCGCTGCCCGCACGATGGATCTGTTTGGGGATCTCCCGGAACCCGGCTGCTCGGCGGCGGGTGAGCGGGCGCTACCCCGCGACGGGCGCCCAGTTCCCGTCCTGCCCTGTCCGCGCAGGGCCGCGGGGCCGGGACTCCCCCTGGCACGGCACGGCACGGCACGGCAGGCCGCGCGGCCCCGCCGGGCCTGCTGCAGCGCTCTGTGGGCAGCGAGTCTCTGCGGGCGAAGTGTCGGCTCCGGGCCGCACCTGCAGCGCGAGCACCGGAGCGGTGATAGCTGAGGGCTCCCAGCGCTTGAGGGGTGGGGGAGAAGGGAGCGGGGCATGTGAAGAGGCGGCTGCAGGAGGGGATGACTCGGTTTGGGTTCGTTTTGGTGGGATTTCTGTGCTGTTCTCTTTCCCTGCGGCTCGTTCGGATGCAGGGTGTTATCCGTAAGATTTAGGCCATGCTGGAGCTTTTCCCCTCACTGCGGTGCTGCGGGTCGTGGGACTGTGGAGAGCTGTAATGTTACCTGAAATAAGTTGGTGCTTTTTTGGCCCCTCCCATGCTATAATATCTCAATTTGGCTGTGAAGGGTGGTAATACACGTTGTGTGGATTGCTAGAAACCAAACAAACAAGTTGTTCTCAAGATAAAAGTTCACATCATCCCCTGGCAAGTGGTTGTCCTGCACATGTAGGAGCTGCCTAAATTAGAGATGGACAAAAGGTAGCCAAGGCTCTCCTCTGTCACCCCACCTGTGCTCAGCTGGAGGGCAGTCCTTCCAGAACCACCCCTTGAGTGCATGCAGTGGGTCCTGATTTTGTCCTGGTGCCTTACAGGGAAGGAAGCCCAGAAAGGACCTCTCCTCTTTGATGATCTCCCACCAGCCAGCAGTGCTGACTCAGGTATGGGTGCTCTATTTCCCTCTATTTCCTATTTCTTCTGTTATTTTGGCTTTGCATGCTTTCTGCATCAGCATCATTTTGAGATGAAACTAGTGCAATCCCTTTTCTTTGTTAGACAGGATAAAACCAGTGGTTTATCAGATCAGCTCCTCCTGTGTTGTTGTTTGTTTTTTTTTTTTTTTTTTAGTTTATTATTTTGATAATCACAGAATGGTTTGGGTTGGAAGGGACCTTAAAGCTCATCCAGTTCCAACCCCCGACTGTGGGCAGGGACACCTTCCACTAGACCAGGTAGCTCCAAGCCCCGTCCAGCCTGGTCTTGAACACTGCCAGGGCATTAGGGCTTCTCTGGGCAACCTGTGCCAGGGCCTCAACACCCTCCCAGGGAAGAATTTTTTTCAGTATCTAATCTAAATCTCCCCTCTCTCAGCTCAGAGCCATTCCCCCTTGTCCTGTCACTGCAGGCCCTTGTAAAAAGTCCCTCTCTAGATTTCTTATTGGCCTCTTTAGGCACTGGAAGCTGCTCTAAGGTCTTTGTTGAGCATTCTCTTCTCCAGGCTGAACAAGCCCAGCTCTCTCAGCCTGTCTCCATAGCGGAGGTGCTCCAGTCCTCAGAGCATCTTTGTGACCTCGTCTGGACTTGCTCAAGCAGCTCCACATCCATCTTGTGTTGGGGTCCTAGAGCTGGATGCAGGACTGCAGGGGGTTTTCACCAGAGTAGAGGGAGAGAATCCCCTCCTTCAACCTGCTAGCCACGATCCTTCTGATGCAGCCCAGGACATGGTTTAACTTCCTTAGCAGTTAATTGCAAAAAAGGCTGGTAGCTAAGAAACAAAATGTGGGTTGGTGGGGAGAATCAGCAGCTTCCTAGCTAAGCATAGCTGTGCTGTGCCTGAGGTAGGCCACGCAATGTAAAGTGATCAAGTCATCAATATGTGCTGTGGGTTGTACATGCTGAGTGAAGTTGGGTGTGTGCATTTGTGGGCAGTTAATATGTCTTGTTCAGTGCTAACTCTGGTCACTTAATACTGTGTGAGAGTGCCAGCCTGCACCCCTGGGAGTGCTTTGGTATAAAAAGGAGTTGCTGCTGAATTCATGCAAGTAAAACAGAGCTGGCAGATTTCAATCATCTGCATTTTTGCTTTCTTTCAGCTTCCAGTGCTACCGAGCAGGTCTCGTCAGCAGGGAGCCACGGGAAAGGGGAGAAGAGAAAGTCTTTGGAGGAGGAAGAAAAGAATGGCAGGGAAGAACTTGTGGAAAAGAAAGTTTGTAAAGGTTTTCAGACAGTTTGAAAACAAATGTACTTAATTTGTACTTTTGACATTGGGCTTAGTAAGTCCAGACCAAAGCTAAGGTTCTTCAGTCTACTTGTGTTTTCAGCCTCTTGTAGGGAACAGACTGCTGGAGCAGTCTGTGGAAACCCTTCTTGCTCCCTGGCACTCTGCCTCCCTCACCCAGGTCTTTTTACCAGCCCTGCTGAAGTGGCAAAAGCTGAGCAACAAGCAGCTCAGCCTTTGCAGGATAAGTTACTGTACTGCCAAACGGGGTACTGGTTGTGAAACTTCTGGAAGGCTAGAGCCACACCAGTTTCTTTTGCCACATCCACAAATCTCTCCACCGCGTGGCTGCTAAAAAAGAGACTTGCTGTTATACATAGGGCATTTGACTTCAGTGCAGGTGCCTGCCTGTCATGCCATGCTTTGTTAATCTGCACGTTCAGTCGCACACTTCCCCTGCTCTCCCCACACCATTTAGTAAGAGCCCTGTCTGATGCCCAGCAGTCCTACTTGGTTATAGCTGCCTGCCGGAATGGGGGCAAGCAGCTTTTATAGCTGCTCACCTTGGGGTCACTTAAAATCCCATGTTACAAATGTCAGAATAGGGTTCTGAAAGCTGAAAAGTGATCACAGATTACTGTTTTTTTTTTTTTAGCCTGAGTTGAGAAGATGGCGGAGTTTGATTTGCCTGCATGTGTCTGCTTTCTTCCCCTTTAGGGTCAGTGGGCATTCTTGGATTGAAGGGTTATGTGGCAGAGAGGAAAGGTGAAAGAGAAGACATGCAGGATGCACATGTCATCTTAAATGATATCACTGAGGAATGCCACCCTCTGCCCTCCCAAATGTAAGTGGGCCACAACTGTCAGAATAGAGCTGTGGATGGCAGCCATCACAAGGGTGAAGGAGCTCCAGCTTGCTTCAGCTAAGCCTGTGATAGGATCATTTTTGCTTTAAGCAGCTCATGCTCTTGACTACACCTGTGTCGTGTTGTATAGTTTGGGCTTGTTGCTGGGAGACCTGGATAGCTGTGTTCTGTGCAAATCACGGGACTACTATATACAAATACCTCCCTTTGAGTGATGCTCAGTGGATTTGGTCACTGAATTCACAAGGGTTGTGAGCGCCCAGTAACTCTGGATATTGAGCCAAATGTTAGCCAAGTGTCGTCATGGGTGTTTAGAGACCCTCAATTTAATTATAAGTAATGAGGCCTTATGTTAGGGATTTTGCAGTGTGTTTTACAGTTAAGTGTGCCATTTAACTGTGGCACGAGAATGCTTAAAGAAGAGAAACTCTCTTACTTGAAAAGCTGAAATCCTTCAGCAAAAAAACACGTACAAGTGCGTGTAAGGGGGAGTGTGTGTGTTTAAAGGAATGCTTTCAAAGATCATCCTGATACGGGATCTAGCTTCTGAACTAGTAATTGTCCTGAGAGCTTAATGTTCAGAGGGATCCGAGTTTCTTGTCTGTAGAATGGTTTCAACAATTTTAGGCATGGAAAGAACTGTAGGATTGCTTAGGCTAATGTCTGCGTAGTGCTGGGGAGTTGTAGTGGCCTTGAGGTGAGGCATATGCTTGAATGTGTGAGCTTACAGACTTGCTACCTTTGTGCCTCGGAGAACAGTATTTACTCAGTCTGGCTGACACGGGACAGGGCATTATGGAGACGAATGTTCTTGATCCCACTGTCTGCCTAACTGTCTCTCTTAGCCCCTTTCTGCTACACTTTGTTCCCTCACAGCACACGTGTCTCATACTTTGCTGTGTTTGATGGCCATGGGGGAGTCCGAGCCTCAAAATTTGCAGCACAGAATATGCACCAGAACCTGATTAAGAAATTTCCTAAAGGTGAGAGAACTGGAATTAGGGCTGTAGGACAACCATCATCTTTTCTGCCTTGCAGTGGATAGGGAAATTGATTTATTTGAGTGTCATTCTACAGTTCCTATCCTTTATTCCCAGGGAGTTACTGCAAGACTGCTCTGTCTCCTGGGGAAGAGGGCTGGAAGCCTTTTAGGCAAAAGGGTACAAATAGCCAGTTGTGAACCACTAAACAAGTGTGAGATGCACTGTTGCCAGTTTTGGCAGTGCTGCTTCAAGCATGAAAATATGCCTGTGGGGGAGAGGGATGTGTCTTAAATTCTTCATACATACTAGTGCACAGATTTTTGGTAGTGTGAATCCAGGATGTACCTTAGCT